GCTACCGCCCGATCCGCTCGGTCCTAACGAACGCGAAGACGCGCCTTCTACCTATACTACTATAGAGATTATCGACCTTAGATCTACTAGCGAGTCTAATAATAGGCGCTAGCTCGTTAATAACGAAGCTAGTATTATCGGTAATAATATCTTCGCTAGAAACGAGAGGGGGTCCGGGTCTAAGTCCGAGGAGGATATTATAGCCCTCGATAAAACCGAAGAGAACTCTAATACCGCTATTAAGGATACTAGAGTTCCACCCTAGCTTCTTTATCCTTCGTTTACAACGGACGAGGGCGAATAGGTCTTTATTCTTAAGCCTCTACCGATCGAGACGTTCGAGTCCTTCGCTAATAGCGAAAGAGCCTATTATAACTAGGACCTTACGTATGGTATAGACTTCCGCAAGCGCAAGTAGAAGAAGATAAATAGAGCTATCTATTAGATGCGTATTATCTATAATCGTAAGGGACGAAAGAATAGCACCTATAATAACCCTAACCCGGACGATAACGATTATCTAGACGAATACTATTCGTCTAGGCCGAATTAGCTAAATAGTCGCCGCTCTAGAAGAGGTTCTATTCGTATAGGTTATAAGATGGGCTTTCTCTTCGTTACCATCGACCGTAATAACGTTAATAGCGAATAGAAGATTCGTTATTAATAAGAAAACCTAAGCTTCTATTATAATTACCCGCCTAGTATTAATAGCCGTGTCTTCGCCTCTTAGCGTCGTCGGTAACGAGCCGAGATACTATAGCTTACCGAGCTTATTTAAGAGTAGTAGCTTAGTAGTATTCGAGCGAACTAATCTCTTACGTCTATTATAAATAGATATCCTACTACGCTCGTAACGTAATAGGATGTCTATAACCTCCGGTAGGCTAATCGCCTTTAGAAGCTTATACACGAGAATATAGTAAATATACTACTCTTTCGTCTTTAACGAAAGAACTTTGCCTTCCGCTTTATCGTTAATAACGAGCATTAACTAGATTCCCTACTTACGCTTCCTCCCGAGACGATTAAGCTCTAACGTGCTAATTCGGATATTCTACTTATCGATCTTACGTTTAAGACGAATAAATACAACCGGCTATTACTAAATATAGTTGGTATAATAGTAAATAACCGAATAATCCCGCTTAGTATTAGTCTTCTTTCGTCTTAAACGGAGGAGGTATACTACTAGACGCTCTTAAGCCTCTATAAGATCCTCGTTAAAAACGAAGTACTACTTCTAAGGGTTATTCTAATAGACCGCGATATTAGTTATATTAATATAGTAAAGCGTAGCTTTACGGGCATTTTAATTATCCTCTACTACTAGCATATTAATAAGGATGTTCTTACCTATATACGAGAGAGGCATTCTTAATCCCGGTAGGGTACTAACTGGGTGGATTCGGAGAGGGCGAAGGAGATTATAGATCGTTTTAAGGCGTGCTATAACGCCTAGACCGAAGAGAAGTTTACTTCGGCTATAGCGAGTATCGAGAGACTCGATACTCGCATTTCCGACTATCTAGAGGCGGAGTAGTAGCTATAGAAGAAGATATTTGTTTTAGTATAGACGAAGGCCTACCTATATTTCGGTAATATTGCTACGTCTCGTGTTAAAGGCGCTTATGCCTAGATTAAGAAGTAGATTATTAACTCTCGCAGTAACGTCTTTACGCTTATCCGTAGGCTAGAGACATAGTGGGCGCTTACTACTACGATAATCGTTTACGACGAAGCGAAGGATAATATCTAGCGTTTAACTACCGTTCGTAGCGAGTTCTAGAACTACTACTAGGGTTAGATCCACCGCTACGTATTAATAGAAACCTCCCTTAAGCTTACTAAGGCTAAGTAAAACTAGATTAAGAGCTAGTCCGATCCTCGTTTCTAACGAAGACAATATACTAGTTCGTTTAAGGCGATATATAGCCGACTATATTATTAGACACTCTTTACGCTTCTATAAGAACGAAGATACTTTCTTAATCCTCGGTTATTCGACCGATACTAGTAGATTAATAGAGACTCGGTACTAACGATAGAACTAGAGACGCCCGTCTACTATAAACCTACGATTATTCGGCGCCGACGAAGGGTAGGATTAAAAGCATCGGCACGCCTAATAGAATCTAGAGTATATAGTATAAGAAGAGACTCTCTTCGTTCGGAACGAGTGGATTGAAATAACGTAGTATTACTACCGATTCTATCTTCTACCCCTACTCGGTTTAAACGAGTTTATATTATCCCCCCTCCGTAGCCTTTATAGCCTCCGTAGCTACGGCAGCTACTATAGCTATTACGGCCACTATAGCCACCGGCTGCTATAATATAGCGGAAGGTCTAGTATCTTCGTCTAAAACGAGTATAAACTCTAGTATAGCCAATCTAGTAACGAGCTCTATTATTCTTTTAAGTACCCTCCTCTTCGCTACTAACGATGCCTATATAATATTACTACTTCGCTAATAGCGAACTATAGTATTATTTTACCCCGCTAATAGTATTCGCTTATAGCGAACTATAGTATTATTTCGCTCTACTAGCAGTATTCGCTTATAGCGAACTATAGTATTATTTCGCTCTACTAGTAGTATTCGCCTATAGCGAACCTACTCTACTAATATACCCAATCGCACTACCGTAATAATACTAATAGACATTCGTTCCGGGCGAATAGTAGTTCTTCTATAGCCGTATACTAGTAAGGGCGTATAGTTGGTTATCTCGCTCTTCGTTTAGCACGAATACTATATAAGTACTTATTATTAGCTAGCCTTTAGTAATAGCGAGTATAAGTAGCTGTCCGGCTATACGGCCTAAGAGCGCTAGCTACTCTACCGTACTACTTACGCTCGCTATTAACGAGTGCTATACTACTTACGCTCGCTATTAACGAGCGCCAGCTATCCGGCTATATAGCCTAGAAGCGCTATTAACGAATACTAGCTACTTACGCTCGCTATTAACGAGCGCTAGCTATCCGGCCGTACGGCTTACGAGCGCTAGCTACTAGGCCGTATAGCTTATACTCGCTAGTAGCGAGGGCCAGCTATTCGGCTATTTAGCTATAAAATTAGCTATTTAACTACACTACTAGCACTCGTTAATAGCGAGTATAAGCTATACGGCCTAGTAGCTAGCGCTCGTAAGCCGTACGACCGGATAGCTGGCGCTCGTTAATAGCGAGCGTAAGTAGCTGGCTAAGTAGCTAGCATTCGTTAATAGCGCTCTTAGGCTATATAGCCGGATAGCTGGCGCTCGTTAATGGCGAGCGTAAGCAGCTAGCTAAGTAGCTAGCATTCGTTAATAGCGCTTTTAGGCTATATAGCCGGATAGCTGGCGCTCGTTAATAGCGAGCGTAAGCAGCGCGGCTAAGTAGCTAGCGCTCTTAGGCCGTATAGCCGGATAGCTACTTATACTCGCTATTACCGAAGGTTTAGTATATAACCAACGTCTCTTACGGTCTTACTTCCCTTTCTTATACTATAGTAGTTTACTTCGTTATTAACGATAGCTATACCTCCCTAATCTTCCTTTACCCTCCCCGGCTATCTAGCCGGTACTAGTTTCTAGGGCGGCTTTAGCCAAGCTAGCTAAGTTCTAAGATTCTATACGGCTAATTAGGCTAGGCGTGTAGACGGTTTATAGTAGAGCTTAAGCAATCTAAGAAAGGCGTAAGTTTAACCCCCCCCCTTCGTTATAAACGAACTAACTATAAAGAAAGTCGGGTTTAAGCGTATACGGCTCGTTAGGGCCCGTATACGAAGCCTTAAAATACCTAAGGTAGGATAGAGGAGTTTATTCGGTAAGAACGAGCCCTTCTTATTATAATTCGTTGCTAACGAGTAAATTGTAGTATAACTTTCTAGCGTTCTACGGATGGTTCGCTAAAGTACTACACCTACTAGGCGTTAAATGCCCCTATACCTACCGGAAATAATATTATCTACGATGCTTAGATCGTTTTAGACGAAGACACCTTGCCCTATAGCTACGTATACGAGGATGCGTTCTTAGAGGCTTAGCTAATCTCGATTAGTAGTTAGACTAAGCGGTAGACGGCTTTAAATAAGTTTAAGATACGTAATATTAACTCTAAATCCGTTCGTTGCTAACGAAGCGCTAGGCGATAGGTTAGAAGCAGCGTAATCTTATAAAGGATATCGTTTACGCCATTCTAAATGCTAGGCCTACTCTAACGGCCTTAGTTGCGTACCGTACGCCTACTACTTACCCTTATTAATTGCTGTTTAGGCTTCGGTGTAAACGATGAGATTGGGTTGGCGAGTAGATAGCTTTAAATTACATGATGAATTCTCTCCCTTCGTTGACAACGAATAAGTGTAATAACACCAACATGTGCAAGTGCTGCCAAGAACTCGTCTGTAACGAAAACAATAAAGGTATGTATCATGCATTCGTTATTACCGAGCGATCTGCGCTAATTACCACTAAGTGGGGGGGGGTGGTACGTTAAGATTTCGAGGGTGGTACGTTATCGCTTCCCGTGAAAAGAGGCGGGCGGGGACGGATTGCGAGCGGCGGGCTGCGCGCGGAGGCGGTGGTGAAACGCCGGGCGGGCTGAGGCATTCCTGCGCAGGGTGCAAGGCGTGGGAATGCCCGGCGAGCTTGCTGCGGGCGCACAAAACGCGGGCGCCAATTTCCCCAAACAAGCCCCGCCCAGGGATTGCGCCCGAGATAGCTTAGGCATGCTTTTGGCTAGCTGCGTCAACCTGCTGCTCCCTTGGCCCAAGTCCACACCACCAATGCCGCCTCCCTCGTTTCTCCGCCCGCTCCTGTCTCCTCCTCTCCTCTTCCCCAGCATCGCCGCTCGTTGTAGGTCGCCATTGCCGCCGACCGATGCGCCCCACCGCTCCACGACCGCCATGAGATAGGCGCCCCAGACACCGCACATCTCCCGCACACCCACCCGCAGTCTCTGCCAATCACCGCCCAGCCCCGTCGCCGGCTACCCGCCAGAACTCCACACCATGTTTCACCCAGTCCATCGCTCGTCAGCCCTGCTGCGCGTCCTCGCCGTCACCCTCATCGCTCTCTTGCCCTCGCTGGCCCACGCCCAGACCCTCATCGACTTCTCCAGCCTGCCCTCGTGCGCCAATTCCTGCACCAACTTGGTCAACGCCCAGAGCGGCTGCGTCCCTCCCGCCGCCGCCGTCACAAACCAGCAAACCTACGTTTCGTGCTTCTGCCAGTCCGCCCTCCTCCCCAACTTCCGCGCCGGCTCCGGAGCCGACTGCGCCTCGTCCTGCACCAATGCCGCCGACCAGTCCGCCATCCAGCAGTGGTACGTCGCCTACTGCGCGAGCGGCGGCCAGAGCGGCGGCGTGACATCGTCCGCCACGTCCAGCTCAGCGACCTCGACCGCGGCCACCTCGTCGGCCGCAGACAGCACCTCCACCCGCAACAGCAACGCCGTCATCAACGACTACGACGGCGATGGCGACCCTTCCAACAACTACGAAGGCAGCTGGTAAGTCCCTACATACGTAGCGCCGCGATCGGCAGCGCCGCCGCCAAACCATTCCCCACAAGCAAGCACTGACGCGACCCCACCCCCGCACAGGATCTCCGCCCACTGGAAGTGGGTCATAATGCTCGCCGTCATCTTTCTGGCCATGATCTTCTTCTCCATCCTCGGCGTCTGGCTCAAGCGCCGCCACCGCGCCCGCCGCGACGCCGCCCGCTCCAACCTCGCCGCCGGCGGCGAAGCCGGCCGCGGCAGCGGCCACGACATGACGGGCGCCATCCCCCCGCCGCCGCCCATGGCCCACCTCAAGAACGCAAACGACTCGGGCACGCTCGCGTCGACGCTCGATCTGCCCAACAACGGCGGCGGCGGCGGTGCGACGTCCCCTTCCCCCGCCGGCCGCCCGCGCAGCCGCACGAACACGATGACCCGCTTCCCCAACGGCAGCATGAGCAACGTCGGCGCCAACGGCCAGCAGGGCCAGCCGCAGCAGCCCGTCGTGTGGGGCCCGCACCAGCACCAGGCCGCCACCCACGGCTACGAGTACCACAACCATCCCGGCATGAGCGACGGCTCGCCCGGGCCCAGCATCCCGCCGTCGCCGGTCAATATCCCGTCGCCGAGCGTGTCGCCCGTGGGCGGCGGCTATGGCGGCAGCGGCAGCAGCAATAGGTATTCGGGGGGCGCCGGCAAGGATAGGAGCAGGGATGTTGCGATTGATGAGGTGGCGGATGAGGATGCCGTCGCGCCGGCGTACGCGCCGGCGAAGGAGCGGTTGAGGAGGAAGTTGAGTAAGCGGTGAGGCAGGAGAGGGGAGGGGAGGGGGATCTTTTCTTTTCTTTTTGCACGCTTTGGTGGAATGTTTACCTCGCCAGATTGCGACTCGTTGAGGGCGCATGGCGGTTCTTTGTATGGGTTTCTTTTGGCCCGCCGCGACGCCAGATGGGATGGCGGGGTTGGCACAGCTTTATATCCGATGGACCACGGCGATGGAGGGGTTCCCCATACGCTGCATCGGACTGTCGATCGCCGTCTCTATCACATCCGCTTGGATGTCGGAGAGAACGGCAGTCATTCTACGCGTGTCAATGTGCGTAACTACAATCATGAGTTGGAGGGGATATCAAGAAAAGGAAGCACTCTGGTACAGGATATGGATTGGAGGTAACGGTTCAGGCACGGACACGGCATCTTTTCTTCCACGCATTCACCGAATTTTCTTACCTTTTGTCGTTCACAATCAGAAGAAGATAATAGTAGTTCATACATACTAATAGGGTCGTGTGTCGCATCACACGCTGCATAGCCGCGAAACAGGAACAGAGAAGTCAATCGAGCATGCCAAACCTTGCAACCTATCCTGACACTCGTGTGACCTCCCCCCTGCTCGCCCCGCCTGCGCCCGCTGCCGCATCCGTCCGTCACAGTGTGTAGCAAACAGACAGCCAGCCAGCCTCCCCCTTCCCAAAACCAGCCTTTTGCCTCCTCCACCGCTACCCGCTTGCAGGAAACACCCGCCGCCCGTCCGCACGGCCGTTGGGGATCCGCGGCGCCAGCTAGGACTACATACCTAGGTACTATGATATGCCCTTTTCTGCGCAACACTATCGTTTCAGCTAAATCGTTACAGCCCGACCGACAGACGTCATTCGTACTACCTACGTAATCCACCTAGATCCATACACACGCACACACACACACACTCGCCCACGTCTCGTCTCGTCTCGTCTCGCGCGCGCGCGTCTGCAAAAATGCCGTCTTATCACACGTATGGCTAGTCGTAGCTCACAACAAACGCCGCTGTCAGCCAGCCAGCCAGCGCGTAGCGTCGAGCTGGGCGGGGCGGAGCGGGGCGGGGCGGGGCGGGGTGGTAGTAGAAGTGGCAGGCTAACTAGTGGAGCCTCCCCCCCGCCCCTCTCGCTAATAAATAACAAGGCGCCTTCATCACGTCGATCGCTCCCGCTGGTGGGGCGTACCTTATAATTGGTGGATGAGAGCGACGGACGGGACGGGAGACGGGAGACGGGTGACGGTTGCGGCGGCGGCGGCGGGTCGGGTCGCATGCATCGGTTTTTTGGGAAGCGATCGAGATCGTTCGTTCTTGATTGTTGCCTAGTGACCGACCGACCGAGCTTGCGACCCCGCACGGCGTCTGCGCTAGTGAGTAAACCGCCGGTGGCGCCGGTGTTAATGGTGGCAGGTGGCAGGTGGTTGTGGTAGTGTGGTGGCTGCGGTGTGGCGGGTATCTTCGGGGACGGTTTCAAGAATAATGGCGTGGTGTATGCAACGGCTGATGGGTGTGTGGTTGGGGAAATGGGTGGCAGGCACGAAGGATTGTGGCGGTGCGGCGGGCTGGGTGCTGCGGGCGGAAGCACCAAATGCCCTGCGTGCGGCTCGGGCTGATAAAAGCATATTGTGGGGGGTTGGGTGGAGGTTGGCATGCGGGCGACGGTTTGTCTGTGGGCTGGCGGGCGGTGGTGGCGGCGGCGCATGTATGTATGCGAGGATGTACGACGTGGGAAACAGGATGATTTCGTTGCGGAAACGAGGCTGCTATGCTTCAGTGAGATGCAAAACTATGTTGTCTCAGCCGCGGTGGCGGGAAACGCCCTGACTAGCGGGCATGCACTATTGTTGGAGAAAACGTCATCGTTATACTGCGGCCGTTATATGTAGGTTGTCCAACAAGGTGTGAAACAGACCTGGCACAAATGAAAAGACAACGCTGTAGACACGCCTAGAATGAGAACGTCATGGAGCTCCAAACATTTTAAATCCCAACAATGAACAAATTGAACACCGGTTCACCCTCAGGAAAGGTTTGCGGAGCAGCCAAAGAAAGGGCGAAACGTGCGAAATGTGAGACTATGGGGAAGAAGCGAGAAACGAAAAAATACAACGGTCGAACAATGGTACCTGATCGACAAAGTGAGTGTGTATAGGTGTGAGACTGCAGGTAAATCAGACTCTCGGCTCTGCAAACAGCAGTAAGATCGATCCGTGTCATATCGTCGAACCAGTTGACGGTGGCTCATTCATGGCTACACTCACCCGACTTTTCACCTCATCTGTCTTGGTCCAGAGGTCTTGAGGTTCCGGGAGGTCGGGGTTGCACCATGGGTTCTCCAGCTCGACATACTCGTTGCCTTGCAAGATCCAAGTTATCGGGGGAAGGTAGTCCTCGAGCACCTCCCACCAGACCTTCCAAAACTTTGCTGCGCAATCTTCATATTGCTCACGTAGAAGCGTATAGGTGTCTGTGAGAGCTTCGAGCTGGATTCTTGAGCAAATGTCCTCCTCTTGCAGCTGCTCTCTCTCCGACTCTGAAACAGAGACCCTTCGCAACATTTCGTACGGCACGTCGTTTGCTCTGTGAAATACGAATTGGCAGCATGTATGCGCCATCCTGAGCCGTTGGAAGATTTCAAGTCTGCAGATTCCCTCTAGGGTGGTCGTGTCCGTGGGATCATAGCCGCACCAGTCCATCCAGTCACTGAGTGTATCACTAAACGTCTCCCAGGGTGTATGTCGCGGTCGGTTGGAGAGGGGAAAGAGATTCATCTTCGGCTCTAGACGCTTCAGCAACAGATTCAAAGGCAAGCAGCCGCAAGTAGAACACCAGCATTTGCATGCATCTCTTTTATTGATCCCTGAGAGTTCAGAAACCCGGCGGACGATGATGTTAAAATTTCCGTCATACTGCTTCCAAAAAAGGAGAGGTCCGACCTTGAAGCAATCGGATAGTATATGTAACAGGCTAGCGCCTGGTAGTGAGGGAAATTGGACGGTTGAGATCCCATGCTCAAGAAACCACGCGAGGAGAGTACTGTAGGGTGTGAAATGTACTCGTCTTAGGTCAACTAAGCAGATCAAAAAGGGTGTACATCCATGTTCGTCCGGTAGATCAATTTCCGTAAAGCTCTGCGAGTGCAATGACTTTATGGCTTCCACATGAAGGTTTTCCGAATGGTAAACCGATTTTCTGAACCCAGGGTGAAGACTTGGTAGGACGTGAATTCCCATATTGCTGAGCAAACATGCAATCTGCCGAGCAGCACCGTCCAAAAGAGGAGTGGTTGCATCAGGATCACTCCAGCCATTTCGGATAAGAACGTTGATCGGTATATTGGCCCTCGCCAAGCACATGAAGCGGCGACGTGAGTCGGCCATCGCTTCAACGACAATGCTTAGAATTTCGAGCGATTTGTCCGAAGTGTGATACCAAAGTATCGGCATCTCAAGGAGAAAGTCGAGTGCTCTATACGAATATCTGGTTTCTGGACCTACACTCGTCGTGTTGAACAAAGAGCCTCCGGCCTTGATAAGTTTCTTCACGGCAAAGGCATCCCGACCCACGATGGCTGTCTTGATTGCCACAGTCGGATCTGCACCGCTGTCCAGGAGGACTTGCATTCCCTCAGGCCAGCTGAGTGAAAGGGATAAAGCCGTGAGGCCTTTCCAGCGGGTCTTATTCACGTCGTGCCCTTCACGAATAAGACTTGTCAGGTCGGATGTGCGGCGGGAGACGACGGCAAGCAAGAGTCGTGGAATGCCAACTTCTTGTGTCGGTCAGCGATGAGGAAAATAACTTTAATAGGGCCAACCTACCAAGCCCAAGATCTGGCATCTGTGGAAAGAGGCCAGCGGCCAGTTGCCGATAATCGAGTACTCCAATAGATTCACTCACATCTATCCCCGACTGATAGAGAACTCGCAAAAAATGTGGTGTTGGCACAGTTCCGGTGACGAAAGTCTCATATTCCATGTGACTTTGTAGGATAGAGAGCGGATCGCCACGTCTTTCCTCAAGTTGAGCGTATCGTTGGTGCCAGGAATAGTCCCCAGCATTGACATCGATACCAAACTGCAGCAGAAGGTTCAGAAGACGTGCTGCTGCTCCATGAAGATAGCTTTGGTAGCGGATCATGGCACCAAGAAGAGAAGCGAGTTCCTATAGATATATTAATAATTGATCAAGGACTATAAGTTACACACTTACCTGTAGTAGCGACGTACCATCCACACACATATCTCTAACGGAGGAGACTCCGGTTATGAAGTCTTTCCTTAAATCCATGTATAGCTCGTCAAGGATCACCTGCAAGATAGATACTTGTGCAAAATCGAAATCCTCGTAGAGACTGTTTATGAAATTACTGGCCAAGTCCGATGTCGGTTCGTCGAAGAGTGTTTTGTGCACACGCTCCCTGGCGGCTGCTACGTGACGAAAGGCTGAAGAGGTTTTGGTATCCACGATATTTGTTATCCGCAAGCTTGGATACAGTGAGACTCCACCCCTGGCACAGATGCCTTTGAACGACAGCTCCACATGTCGGGCAAAAAGACGAGGTAAGGTGACCTTGACGCAGGTTTCGGAGTCCTTCGTTTGGTACACGCAACTGCAAGGGCAATCTCGCTCATGATATTCGGTCGTCATGTGGGTAAAAACGGCTGGCCCGACACGAGACGTTGATTTCACAAGTTGGGACCGCTCGCAGGTGCAGCCCGGGTGGAATCCTCGAAGCGAGCTATTTCGATTTTGGTGGGCGCGGGGAGATATTGAGAAGTCAACGCTCATCTGTGGACAGTTAGCAGAATGAGGGTATCCAGGCGCTGAGATCCTTACAGATTGCCGAGAAGAGCCCACTGTGACGGTGGTGTGTTGTTGCTGTGAGGAATGTGCAATGGCCGCGAATCCGGCATCGACACGACTCCCAAGTGTCTCGATGGCGGCATTCGCAACAGAAGTGACCATGAGCTGCTCTTTGAGCAGCGACACGCTCTGGTGGTGGTACCAGATTCCAAGGTACGACTTCAAGTCATCCAAACGCTTGCAACGTTCAGATATCTCGTCTTCCTTCTTGATGTATGAGAATGCACGCATCTTCCCCTTCACGAATGTATCGTCCGCCTTGGATATGAGCCTATTCAGGATTCCCAGAAGCTCCGACGCTTCACAGGTGCAGTCATCCAGTATGTCTTTGGCTTCAAGCTTGCTGTCGTCGGAGAGGAAGTTTGCGAGGGATGTTGGAGAGGTCGGTCGGAGGTCGGTCTGTGGTTTCTGCACGAGGCTGATGAGGTGCTTGACTGACCGCTCAGAATTCTTGACCTTGTCTGGCGCATTGTCGAGTCTTGAGCGGAGTTTGCTGGCAGCGATGAGGAGTTTGGTGCCGATTTCGACGAAGTGCACCGCGGCGGCGGCGATGCCGACCGCCTCAGCCATTTTCGACGGCGAGGAAAGTGAGTGGAAAGGTAAAGGGCCCGGCTGAAGGTGGGCGGTCAGTCTGTCGATGCAGCATAGCCACAGCGGGGCTCAGCCTCGCAGGAGAAGCAAGTTTGCATGAAGTCAGTCCGCATGCCGCGGGCAGACTGTGGTGAACTCCAAGAATTTCATTTGTGCAACGTTGCACCTGGCCGATAGCCCGCTAATCCGCATCTGCTGATCTTTTACCTCCCCATTCGTAGCAGTCACCCCCAATCTCAAAGCCGCTCACCACTTTGATCTCAACCCTCCATCTCAACCATCTCTCCCATCTCTCCCACCTCACCCATCTCTTCCGCCCCCGCCCACGCCCACCCCCCCTCCACAGTCCCCCCCGGCACCTCCAACCTCCTCCACAAGCGCCTACCATAGCAACGCTCCATCTTGCCAACCACACCCTCCACCTCCGCCACCATCACCGCATCAGCCCCGCGTTTCTGCCCCCACCCATCGCACCACTCCTGGAACACCACCTCCCCCCTCACCTCCCCCCTCGCCTCATCCCCCACCTCCCCATCCGCGAATAGCGCCGACGCCAGCCCCCCCGCCAGCGTCCTGACGCAACGCCTCACGGCGGCCGTCCACTCGCGGCGTTGGCCCGCCTGCTCGCGCGCCTGCGCCCGGAACCAGCGGCGCTGCACGGCGAGCGGGTCGTCGTCGGGGGCGTCGGCCTTGTTGGGGCCGAGGAGGACGGCGTCGGAGAAGAGGAAGTCGACGAGCTGTTCGCGCTGGAGGACGTTGTCGCCCTTCCACCCCTTGTGGGTGGGGACGAGGAAGGTGAAGCGGCGGAGGTGGCGGAGGTGGTCCGAGTCGAGCGGGGTCGTGGTGAATGGGGTCGCTGGGCCCGAGAGCGCCGTGTCGAGGTCGAGTTGGCCGGCGGATGGGTAGTTGGCTGCGAGGTGGATGACGCCGTCGGCGGAGGGCAGGAGCAGGACGGGGTCGGCGCGGAGGTGGGCGGCGAGGAGGTGGCGGCGGAGGCTGGTGGTGGAGGCGGAGGGGTTGAGGAGTGTGAGGAGGGGGAGCTGGACGGTGATGGTCGTGGGTGTCGTGACCGTGACACCAGTGACGCCGGGGTGGGGGTGGGAGATGTTGGTGGCGGTGAGGCCGACGGTGGGGTCCTGGACCTCGGGTAGGCAGTCTGGGACGACCGGGGCCGAGCTGAGAGAACGGGGCATGGCGTTCTTCAGACCGGCGGGGAGCTCTTGGACCTCGGGCAGGCAGTCCGGGATCGACGGTGAAGAATCGAAAGGAGCAGGTGTGACGTTGGTCATCTTCGGGGCAGCGGGACAGACACAGTCGTTGAGCGTGTTAGCGCCCATGTTGTCAGGCTTCTTTTGTTCCTCGACGGAATCGCTGTTGAAATAAGGCATTGCTGGAGGGTGTTAGATTGATGTCAATGTCAAGGGACAAGCCACCAAGGTGCACAGGAAAGAGTGGACGAGAAGTACTGACCAAGCAATGGGTATCTGTAGCAACTGGGACGGGATCTTCTCGTGAACTCCAGGGGTGACTCAACGGTCGGCTTTGCGTCGGGCTGCTGGTCGGAAGACGAAGTGGACGACGGGCTATGCGGTAGGAAGGAAAGAGGAGAGGGAGGTTTGTTCAGAACCGACCATCTAAAAGGCATAGCCGGGGCTGTGGGCCGGCGGCCCTCGTGCGTATTGTGTCAATAGCATTGTTGTGCGCGTGGGTGGCAGGGCGGCCATGGATGTCTTGTGACGAGGGGCGAGAGGAGTTAGTGGTGGGTCGTGGGACAGAGAGCTGCGGATTCGGCAGGAACAGAGGGTTGCAACTGGCGAGTTATGTTGAGAATGTGTACATGTGCCAGAACAGAGCGTGCCAGAAGCACTCGTGCCATCTATCCTGCTCGTTATATCGTCCATTCTCACTCATCGGGCAACTGCGGTGGTTGGCAATAGAATATCACAGGCGGTAAGACTTCCCCTGATGGATCGAGTGCGCTCATTTTCACGCCAGGTGTTTGAGCTAGGATCGAAAGGTGCGGCAACAATGGAGCTGCGCTGTGGCTAGGCATCGTAGTCGGCGGGCAAGGCGACAGCTTCCCGCGGCAGTTCGCTCGAATCCACCACTCAGCGCCGCACCCGCCCATGACTCCAACGCAACCCCGATCAGCCCTGAACCTGCTTGGTTACCTCGGGTCTACCCTCTCAGGGGCCACGGCGGACACAGAGAAGCTCATAGCGGAGTGGCAGGCCGGCTGAACGGGCGCGAGGAGAGCGGGCGGCTCGCCGGGCAGGAAGGCGGCGCTGGCAAAGGCACGGAGCGGGAGCTATTCCTCATCGCGACGACGTCTGGCAGCATAGGTGGCTTCGGATGACTGCGGTACGGCCTCTGGTGGTGCGCGGAATGCCCTACGCATGTTGCTGACATGTTGGCGGGTAAGTAGCGTCGTCGGTCGTCGGGGCGCGGAGATGAGCCAGATTCCCCGCACTCACCACCTCCGCAGCGCCGCCCAGCCCACCCCAGCTCCTGAACGGCCCTTGTGCTTGCCGACAAGCATCGCTGACTCCAAGAAAAGGCCTTCCCGAGCGGCCAAAGATCAATGGCAAGATGCAGCGCTGGCGCGGTGTCGAAGGCAATGGCGTCAGAGGGCGGCGGCCGGCTTGGCTGTCGCATCGCCGAGACGCGCCCCACCAGGCACATCTCGCTGCGCCCGCTTCCTCCCGCTCCAACACCTCCACAAGTCCTTTGCCCAGCTCACAGCCTCTCAAGTCGTACTCGTCTCTCTTCCTCCTCTTTCTGCGTCCAGAACCCAGCATTCCGCCGCGATGCCGCTCGAAATCCGTCGCGTTGAAGAGGCCGACATCCCGCGGTTCGTGACGGTGACGAACGCCGCCCTCGATGCCTCTGGCATCGGTTGCGCCATGCACGGCGACACGCCGCACCCGGCATACCTCGCGCACCGCCAGGAGAAGCTCCTCAAGAGCCTATCCAAGCCAAATATTCACCATCTGAAGGTCGTCGACACAGACAACAACGACGAGCTCATAGCCGGTGCCGTCTGGGCCGTTTTCGATCACGGCCGGTCGGACGACGAGATCAGAGAGCTGGAGCAGCCTTTTGAGCCCATCGAGGAGGAGCGTGAGCGCTTTGGCCGTATTCAGACCGCCTTCTTCAGCTACCTCAACCGCGTGAGGCTCCAGATGGGCAAGACTCCGCACTACTGTGAGTCACCCCGTCCGCCGCCCTGCGGGGCTCCGTAACGCCTTGCCCGAGAAGCTCTATGCCGTTTTACGTGCTGACCGTTTCCGCCTCGTAGTTCTCAACCTTCTTGTCACGCACCCGGGCCATCACCGCCGTGGTGCAGGCGCCATGCTCATCCGCTGGGGTACTGAGCAAGCCGACAAGGCCGGCCTGATCTGTTTCCTCGAGGCCACCGAGACCGGAAGAGCTCTGTACAAGCGTCACGGCTTTGAGGACCAAAACACTGTAGAATTCGACCTCTCCGAGTATGGCGGTAGCGGCATCAACAAGAACACCACAATGATCAGGCAGCCGGTGAAGAACTGAGTCGGAGCAAGGGCCGGGAAAGGACACCGCAGCCGGTGCATGGAGGGAGGCTACTGCGGACGCAGCCACGGCGGTGATGGAGATCAGGGTTTGCCCGTGTGCAAGTAGCTGGTTGTAGCCGACCCAATACCCGGTGTCTGCTTCCGACTGGCCGCGTCCATCTTCTTCCAGTGCATTCTGGCCCATGGCTAAATCGTCTTTACCGAATCGGATGTCCATGGCGGTAACCGGAAGCTTCTCTTTGTCTCCGCGCGGCAACGCCTCGACCCAGGGCCCCGAGCCAGCGATAATTCAGTCAATGTCGTCATAATCCCTGTCCATTTACGCCATGAACACGAATTGGAAAAACCGCAGCGAGAGGCCGACTCGGGCCACAGGTTTGCGTGACCGATTTGGTGGAACTTCTGCAGCGCCGCGCCTACCGACGTGGTCCGGTGTCCTTTGGGCGGTGTCAGTTTGCGGTAAGCGGCCATGACCGAACCGACGTAGCAAAGCTCGCGGGACGTGGCACGCGGGACGCGGCACGCCTTGACAGGGATACTGCAATACGGTGTACGCTTCGGGCCGCGGCCTCGATGCTGGGGCTGCAGCTGATTACGGATGCCGGGGAAGGTGTCGAACTACGGCAAGTCGATCGGAGTCCACCGTGGAGCGTCTGGCCGTTGCAGGACGACTGGAGGTTGTCAACTTGGGTGAATGTGCCTTGAGAGATGCGTCCCCACGTGAGTCGAGAGAATGCACGAGGGAATCGAGCTCTGAGATGGGCATGCCCACTATAATGCCAGCTCCTGTGGATGACCTTGGCTTGTGCGTACGACTCAACGCTGCTTGAGGGCGCATCCGGACTCCTCTCCCCAAGTTTGGAAGCTGATTGCCGTAATAGACGGTGCCTGGTGACTGTCTTGCGGTGCCTTTTCTTCCCATCCTCTTCATGCCTTCCATTGTTCTTGACGTCTTGCCCTTTGGCTCTTCAAGCTTTCCGTCTCTTCCTCTCCCATAATCTCAGTCATCCTCTATTCCGTCCTCAAGTCTCTGAGTGTCCTACCCAATCCATTAATGCCTCAACAGCTTTCTCTCCAGTCAGATGGAGATTCCGGGTCGCCACCGTTCTTCCCACTCTTCCAGTCCAAAAGCTCACTGGCCCCGATTTCAATGCCCACTCCAGCCTTTAAAATCATGCGTCACCTACCAGCCTTCAAAGAAAGACAGTCTGGTGCTTGCCTTTTCAGCAAGACATCCCCTAGTCAATGCTTTTCGTTGAAGTCTTCTGCTTCAATCAGAGAAGCTGATGGTGGCGCTGCCGCCAGTCCACTTGACGTTATTCTCAGCCACCCTTCTGGCTAAGCTGCGGCCAGAACTATAGCCACCTTATGGGGAGGTACTCTTCGTGCCCGTAATCTGCTGTTTTATTCCCAGTACCAACATTCGTTATTCTCTGCCCTGAAAGCCCAGCCGCACATTAAGCAGTCTGCGTGGACGGGTGGTAGAGTGAGCGACACGTTGGGTGATTCGATGAACATGTATTGCGCAGAGCGATCGGTCGCTACGATCGCATGTGATCGACTGAAGATCTCATTTATCTCTGAGCTTGTCGAGCACTGGCTGCAGCGTCCGATAACTTTCTCCAGGTTGTTTCGCGAATGCAACTGATGGGTGTAAGCCAAACATCATCACCAAGGCTCAGTACCCTTACAGTCTGGTGTCCCATTAAGCGCAATTGTGTGTGTGGGCGTAGACTCGAAATAAAATAGCGTCGCATGGCTGGTTTTATTTTTTGTTGTGCTCGGAAGATCCTGAGGGATTACAAGCTGTGGAAACGGTTCCGATTCTGGAGCGAAGCAAGCTAAGTACGTTTTCTAAAGAACTTAGCAAAGGATCTACCGCAAGAAAACTACCGCGCGTTGTGATCGAATATCAGTGGATACGTTTCCTGATAGACTGCCCTTCGAGGATGATTTGATGGCATTACTGACGTGTGGAGGAACAACGACGTATGCCTCGTGAGGGTCTCCTAGCCAGACGTCGATTTCTTCTATAGTCGGTGATCCCAGAGAATTTATTGTGGCGAAAACCGCTCGTTTACTGTAGAAGGTTCGACGAAACGAAGGGTGCCACACAGAGCGAACACGCGTTCGAAGGGTTGCTGCCATAGTGCATTTGCCGAAAGAGCGAGCGAGGTGGACAAGATAGGTGGCAAGCAATGACTGAGCATTGCTAGCCTGAAACGACTGCACGCGATGCATGAGTCTTGGTAATAATAATTCCGGCGCCGCAACAATTGCCATTTCTGTTCCTGTTCTGCGGGTGCTTGCATGGGACGTTCGTTTCCACTCGAGGCGAAAGGTCGGGGCCACGGGAGAAGGGCCGGGTCTGAAAATCGTAATGGTCAAGCGATGGACGGATACCCGGTGAGGAACCTGCCCCCCGCGGGCGTCATCCTGTCCAGCGAGCTGGCATACAAGATCAGGAGGTGCGCAGCCGAGACAGGCTGCTTTTCGTCGCGCCAGCTCCACAAATATTGGCCCGCGAACTTTTCGCAGAAGGGAGCACCCTGCGATCGGGTCGAGCCGATGGGCCGACCCGCGATCCTCTAAGCCGAGGACGGCTCTCAGGTCTTCGGAACGTGTGGCGGATACGCGTACGTCGGGGACTACGGTTTCCAGCAGCTCGCCGCGGAAGTAGGAAACCCCGCGAACGCCATAAGCCTCTAGAGGTGGTTCCGCCGGGAGGACCGGGCCAAGGGGCTCGGTTACTCGAGCAATCTTAACCCGGCGGGTTTCCAACAGCGCGAGTACGTCATCGATCCAGAGCGGATGGACCCAGGTCAACGATGGCCACCTTCGGTCCTTAAGGTCTTGCAGGATTACCGTGACGGTAGCATGATTTACCAGCCGGGGGACAATTCCCCTACCCACCCGGACTCGCAGCCCTACTTGGCAACCGTCGCCGCGAACCTGGATTAACGCAGGCGAGCGAAGCTCCCCACGAGGATGCCCGCTTTTGTAGATAGACCGCTGGATCTGTGGACCGCGGTATCGGTGCCGGATGCAAGCTTGTCTGCGCCGAGCAGGGGAGGCACGAGCCTCAGCAAAGAGACTCAGAGCCGCCTAAACAAGATCTTTCAACACAAGGTCTACCCGGTGAAGCCCCCGCTCCGGATGCATGGCCCTAGTGTTTCGCACGAATCATCGCACGTACCGATACCGGATGCAGCCGCCATCACGCCATCGCCCGACGCGCCAGAATCAGGTATTTAAGCAGGCCGAAGCCCCAGGTACGTGCAGATAAGGTTTCCTCTTCCCAACACAACAATCAGCGTTGTTTGGTTTTCAAATTTCCTTCGACCGCCCGGAAGCCCGGCCCGAGCTCGCGCCATTGTCCTTCCAGTTGAGGGTCTTACGTGGCTTCCGTTGTCCCCTTGATTGCGGGCAGCCGTTCCACCTATTATCCTCTCTGCCAAGGGCAATCGTCCAGCACGTGACAATGTGCCGACCAACGTGCGAGAGCGGGCTGGTCTTCCAGCGGCTCGGAGGGACTAAGTCAAGGCTACTTTCGAGTCGTCGTACTGGTAAAAGCCTGGGCGGGCGGGGCTCCCAATCTCCTCATTGGGGGCGGGTATATTTTTCTAGATGGATTTTAGAATCCAGCTATTGATTGGTGCATGATCAGGTGCTGTCGGTCCTTGACGCGTCGCTCTTGCAAGTGACAGCCACGAATCGACCATGGATTCGGAATTCGCAGAGGGCCGTACACATCGATTCTTGGTCAGATGGTCGCAAAGCGGAAGTCCAGTGAAGTTTTCTCAAGCGGCCATCACCATCACCGAACTGAGGAGCAGGACGCAGCCAGGGCCAGCCCAGTGGGAGTGATGAATGGCAGCGCTACAACCTCATGTTCACCACCCAAATGGCTGTTTGTATCTTGGTCGCTCTCTACAAGGATGGACGAGATTGGTTCGAGCGGACGCCGCCGTTAATCAATGGATCCGCCAAGGATTCCCTCTTCTCTTCTTGAGCATCGTCTTCCGTTTCACGGACTTGGCTGTTGCCGTCTCCTGCCTTTGTACGTTGACATGCAGCCAGGCCGTTGGCCGTCCACGGCCAATTTTCGATCCTTGAATTGTCCGCACGCCAGTTGATTCCTCTCGAGAAGCCCGGTCTGGGGAAGCTCCGTTCGCGTGTGTTGTTTGTTGCGTCGACTACTTCGGTGGATTGGTTGCCGTCATGCGAGACTCCGTCCAGGATATTTCCAGGTCAACTTTGGTCACCCATTCCGGAAAACAAACCACATGCCCAGTCCCGTACGAAGGAGCTGGAATGCCGTAGAGCACTAGAGCAGCGGAATGCCGCAACCGGAGTCCTGAGCAACGTCGGGTTCTCCGGGCAATCGGGAAATTTGCGGCATTGCGGCAAAATTTTTTCCTCACCACCAACGCTTCCGGCCCGCCAAAAGACCACAATCCAGCCCTCGCACTCCGCAGTTCGCTCTCCTGTGTTCGAGGTCCCCCAAGCAGAAAACAAAAGGACCAAAAAAGGCATTGTGCCGCAGCCTGGAGCAGGGCAAAAAAGTAAGCCGCATGCGACCCTGATGTCAACCAGGACTATTGGATCCGCCAAGAATCGAACTCGGGACCTCTCCCATGCTAAGGGAATATTATACCACTAAACCACAGACCCTATGCTGCTTGATGGAGAGGAGAGTGGCTTGTAGCGGTTAAGAGGAGGTCGTGGGGCGGCTGGGAGGCTACGGAGCCCTTCGGGAGCGGATTCGGCGGAAGCAAAGCCGTACGCTGGACATGCAGTGTGCGCTGGGCTCTAAGCAGTGGGTGGCGATGCATGGTAGGGCTTGTTGCGGGACCTGGGAGAAAAAGAGCGCTGTAGAGGAGGCTTTCGGGTGAGACATGGTGGCGAAGGAGCTGGAGAACCAAACGAGCCTGGAATTTGCAAAGGACAGCCAGTATCTGTATGCTGAGATCCGGAGCCACGGAAACAACTTGGAAAAGCGGTGCGGAGGCTGGGCCCCTGGGGTGAACGCAGTTTCTGGGATTCTTGAGAGCTTGGGAGTGCGAGAATCAGGGATCCGTAAGAGCTTGGGATGGTAAGAGCTGGGAATATCCGGAAGGCCTTGAAATTGCAAGAGCTTCGTGTCTCTAAGCGTGGGGCTTTGTGAACGCTTGGGATCCGGAAGAGATGGAGAATTGAAAAGATCTCGGAATTTACGGAGTCGTGGATACCAGAAAGCTTTGGTCTCGGGGATAGATCGCATGTCAAAGGAGCTTGGGATTTGAAAGCGGCAGCGCCGTACGGTAAGACCTGGGATCACATGCGGGGGAAGCCGGGACGGTAGCCGTCAATAACATCGAGGACAGCCGGCGGTTGTGACAATGATGCACGGGGTGCATTGTTACACAGCTGCCGCCCACGGTGACAGAGTGTGGCCGGTGGCCGCTTCTGAAAATGCTTGCCTGCTGATCCGCCTCTAGCGCTGACCTCGTAATATCTGCTATCGTAGAATTCCCGATGGAGAAAAACGTCCGTTTCGTCTGAAAGCTTGACGGAGAGAGAAAGACCTGATAATTGAAGTTTGTTATGCAATGAATGGGAGTTGGGAAATGCCCGTAGTGTTCGGAGAACCAGCCCGAAAGAGCCAGAGATCTGCTCGCACCAAAAGCAGACTGCCCGTGGCGAGGAAGAGCAAGGGAAACTGTTCGTATTAAGGCCATTCCTGCGTATCTGAACGGCGAAACCCTCGGATCAGTCGTGTGCTTACGAGAATGATGCAGGCTGCTCGAGGGGTTACTCCTTGGAGTAGTTGGATGGTTAGCTGACGGAAAGATGGCTGGATGGGAAATCTCGCGGTGGTAGGACCGGTGAGGCAAGATAATGGAATGACTCTTTGGTCAGATACGTGACGGATGCCGGGTGTGAGTAACGGCTCTTCTCACACTTCCACGACAGCCGCATTGTCTCTCAACCGTGAGTTGTCGTATTCGCTGCTGTTAACCTCATCGAACTCCGAAATCTTCTGCCAGTCACCGGAGTGTCGTGTGGCCAGCGGCCTGCAGTTTTCAATCATCCATTAAACTCAAAAATGACTACAGATTTATTCTACCCGCTTGCGTGGAATTCGAGGGACCGGAGGATGAGTGTGCGCTTCTTGATCTCTTCATCCCTCCAAAAATGCCCCAAACGTGCGCAGTTAGCTCGGAGACTGAAACAGTGACCTGATCCAGAGTATGATTGCCCTAGGAAGCGACGATGATGGGTGCGTTAAGCTCACGATCTGAGGTGTTCAGTAAGGCTTTTAGAGCGACCACGGACACGTTGAGTCTTGTCCAGCTCTGCCTTTGTAGAACACGGCCGCGGCTGAAGGTCATTCATGCTTGCTTCACCCTCGAAGACAGGAGTAAGATCAAGGTGTGGGGTCCTTTCGATGTAGTTCGGGGCATCGACAGCGGTCGGTGTCTAGCTGCAAGGAGACCCCTTGTCTTCGGATAGTCCGGCTACGGCTGAAGGACATCCATGCCTTCTTCACCCTCAAAGGCTGGAGTAAAATCAATCCCAGAGGCAAGACGGAGTCAGCAGAAACTTCGTCCCCATTCGCCGGCCCCTCTTGCCCTGCATTGCATGCATCTTACTCGGTAAGCGCCCCGGTAGGTCTGCCCTTGCGTCCTGCATGACTTTCCATGGCTGTTGCGGCAGAACCTACGTCCGTGGAGCTCGTCGGGACCGATTCCTTCACGTTCGAAAAAAAATTTCTTCTCGTATTCGATTGAGTCCTTCTCGTATTGAGGAGGAGCCGTTCGTCCTCTTCCCCATGAGAGTGGTATCTCAATCAATCTAGCTGACACGGGCTTACGCTCAGTAGGGCGTAGCAAAAAGGCTCCACTTGCGGCGAAATGGCTTCGTGCTGCAACACCAAGCCATATCGACGAGAATGAGAGCGGCTGTGGTCGGAAGGGCGCGCAGTAGGCGTTTGAATTGCGACGGTGGCGTTCGCAAAGACACTCCGGAGCATTGCGGAAATGTCGAAAGACCAAGGAATCTGGAGGCCATGGTCGAATTATCGGTGTCGATTTGCAGATATCTGTGGTGTTTGCCGAAGACCAAGGGGTACTGCAAGGTGGAAAGATGGAGGTGTTGAGTGGAGAGGCAAAAGGTGGTGCCAACGGAAGGAGAGCACAGTGAGCGGCGTGCTTGCTGTTTAACAAACCAAGTCCTGCCAACGCTTCCAAGTGTTCTAGTGACCTTTTGCTTCCGCCTGATTGGATGATGCTCGATGAAAGCGATGTTTCTTCACAACTGATTTCTGTATTATCGTCGTCAAGCACGAAGTCCGGTAGAAGCCCCGTTGTCTCGGCGTTCAAAGAGGACCGAATACGTTTGTGAGGAGGGTTGGGCAGGGTAGAAGAATTGCTCGACTTGAGGAACTGTGAGATTGAGAGTCATCAGCCATTGCTTTTCTAGTATGCCAGTACATCAAAATCTGGCTCTTTTTCTTTTCGCAAGGAAAGGACTCTTACCTCATGATTCATCTCAACTTTCTGCTGCTCGCGCGCCATCTGCGCATGGTAGCACATGTCCTGAACCCAGTTGTACCTGGGTAGCATCATCTGCTTGGTGTCCAGTACCTCATGGTGATTTTTGGGCCCGATCTCGATGTTTTGCTGGTTATCATTCTTCGAGGCATCGGGTCGCAAAAGCGGCGTGGAAGAGGCGGGCTGCGGACAGCAGAGCGAGACCTTCGTAATGAGCAACCTGAGTACATCATCCATGCCATCTGAGAGTATGGTATTTGATCCGCTATTGCTATGGCCGGCAATGCTGCGGGGTGGTGAGGTAGTAAGGAGGGAAGGCGATGCATGTTGTGAAGAAGTTGGTGTTCTTTGTATGATTTTCGCTGGCTTCAAGGGATGGAAAGGCAACTGTGAAGCATCGATTCGAAGGATTAGGCAGTCTGATATCTGTATTGAGTGGTCAGTGGCAATGCAGTTACATTTGGCTTCTTTGACTCACAGCCTCGTTTCTGGCACACTTGCAATGGCCGTTGGCTTGGCTGGCTGATGCGTCCTGAGGTAGATTCCCCCCAAAGAGTGTCAGTGAGCCGACTGAAGATAGCTGTTCGCAAGTCGCAACTTTAACCGTCTCTACGATGTTCTCTGGGTCTTCGTCGCTGATATTACTGCACCCCTGAGCTAGTTTCGCTGTGTGCTGGTGGGACATGGTTTCCAGCACTGGTTCGGCCCAGCATGGATTGTCAACAGTGAAGGGGAGGACGGGAAGCACCGCAGCCCTTTCTCTGGCAAGCGAGGATGGGAGCACCCTCAGCCCAGCTTTGTAGGGCGGAGATCCTGCGTAGTGCACATGTAGTCTCTCGATAGTCTCTTGATGATGTGCACCGAGACGGAGAGAAATGATCGCTACGTTGTTTAGTGCTGTAGAGTAGGAGTAATCCTCTGCCCAAAGATGATGGACTCCAAGAGGAATATCGGCGCAGTGACTCTGACGAATGCCGACGCTAAGGTAGAACGTTGTGTCGGTGCGTTTTTGGCTGGTCAAGGGTGCCGATGCTGCTCGTCTCCTCATTGTAGGCGGTGCTGAAAGCAGTGGATCGGGCCTCTGAGCTGGGAGATCTTCCAACGTTATGGCGAGTAGTTGGCATGGGAGGAAATGTTGTTCGAAGGCTGGATGTCGTAAAAGTAGAGGCGGAGACGAAGATCTACGCATGGCGTTCAGTCAGCTACGGTCCTTGATGCCCTGGCTCGTTGCGTGAGAACTTGTGACTCAGACAAGGGGAGTGAGTGCAATGGATTCTCAAGCGGGCCTCTCGCACGCAGAAGAAGCTCATGGTACTGGTAGAGCGAGAGTAGCTCTAGGACGAAGCGGTACCTAGCTGGAGTGGATGACCTTGGGTAACAGTCATGGGAGCTCTCCCCAACCAATGAGACGCGACGGTGAGTACTGACGGCAAGGATGGTGCGGAGGGCTTGAGTAGCTGAAGTACCTGACTAGTGGCTGCACGGTGGTGTATTTCAGACCACGACGCTTCGCAAGGCGCGAAGGCCCATGTATCAGCTGAGAGGGTGCCAGCAAGAGCTTGGTGGATAGTCTTCGTAGCAACTGAGTAGCAGAAGTGGTGAGCCGTTTGGCAAGGTTTGGTGTGGCGAGGAGGTAGGGTGTGCGAGGGCATGGAAGCGTAGGAAAAGTGAAGGGTCGCAAAGCGAAGTCACGAGCGCCGACGCGCCGCCACAGCGTCCGCCAGCCCGCCAACTTCCTTATCGGCTACCGCGGATTCTAATCCGCGCTGCACAGCGAGAAGACTTTTCAGCATCAGGAAGCGCGCTTCGAACCGGCGTGGCTCGGTCTGACTTCAGCCATAGCAGGCACACCATGCGACTCCGGACCCCGTCCTGCTGATTCGCGCCAACTCTGTCGATTCGAAACAGGCCCGCTCGACTTAGGAAAAGTATCTCTATGCACTTCTCCGTGGCCCCGGAAGCAGTATCGGAGCCCATCGGCGACGGGTGATCAGGTTTCTTTCGCACCCCAATGCTACCCGCTGATCAGGCCAATTCGCACTCAACCATGTCTGACACGGTAATAGGTTTGCGCATGCTCCCTCAAACGCATAGAGTAGGTCATAATAGCCCTATTCAAACCCGATGCGCGCATAGCGCGGTCTGTGAAGCCCATGGGTGCTCTCGCCCTGCTTGCGACCAGGTGCCTTGACGCACATGGAAGCCGGACGTCTCTCCACCAAATACCAAACTGTCAGGACCTCTCATAGCCCCAACTGAGATACTGAAGCTACGAAGAAGTCCCGTGGTCATCATTATTCGAGGTAAGTGGAAGAATCTCCTTGTCTGTAAAGTTTATTCGTCGCCTTGTGCTGCTAATTGAAGGATATAATAGAGATAGTTCTGTACTACGCAAGCTTACACAGATGTCTCCCAAATCCCCTCATGAATTTACATTCTTTCCATCCTTCTTTTCTCCGATCGATGTCAGCCCCTCCGCGTCAAAGAACATACGTCACCAACGAACCGCAGCGAGCTGGAACTTCCATCCTGAAAACAAATCATTGAGACAAATCCCTGCTACGAAGGGTGCGCTGGCTTTCAGTGTGCGAAGCTTCAGTCGACAGACCATGGATCGACAACACATTCTGGGAAGGTGCTATAGAGAGGGCCATCAGCGCGTGGCTTGCATTGTATGTTTACATTGTCTCTTCTCCAACCACACGACCGGCTCCTTGGTGCTTTCGAAAAATCACTGTGTCTTGAGCAACGAATTCATTCCTGGAGGTGCGTGAAGTGGCAGAGACAAAGGGTGTTGCCCAAACACCGGCGAAACTCCCAATCGATCAGACGTCTCGACGACCGGTTTCCCTGCCACGCTCAACATCCCACACGGCTGTGAAACACATGGCGGGAATGGATACTTATGGGCAAAGAGGGTAGGTAGCTTGCTGGCAGAGGCTTGCTGGCTCGACTGAACCGCAGACAGGAGCACGCTTGCTCGTCGCCCATGGAGACTGATATTGGTGCGACTGCTACACCTGTCTATCCAAGAACATGTTCTACATTGCAGTAAGGCTACGAAGCTGGTAAACCAGACAAGGGAATGGTCAGAATTCGTGAAAGAGACTTTCCCATGGGACGTCTCGTACGGGGGCGGGCGTAGGGTTTACCACGAGGAGCGAGCAAGTTCGTCCGGAACATCTTGAGCCCTCCTTGCTTGTATTGAATTACTCAAAGTCAGAACCATGGCTTCATGCCTCTTCGGCAAGATGGCATGGGCCCCGAGTCACATCCATTCACAGACAGCATACGGATGGCCATGATGCCGATCGCCAGCTGGAATGAAGTAATGTGCTTTCATAGCTGATGAGCTGCAGTACGCTAATGAGAAGCCGGCAGCAAAGGTTACTTACTTGGTTCAGTCGCGCCCCACAGTGATTGCATCCTCTAGCCTTCTTCTACAGCCCCGATGCCGTCTTTGAAACATGGAGGACAGCTCTGTTGGCGAAGGGACGACTTTACTGGAAGCTTCCAAGGCTCGTAGGTATCTTTTACGGTCCAATAGTGTATCTCGTCCAAAGGAGGGGGCGCAATACACAGTCAACAGCGAGCATTGCTATTGAAACTCGGAAGGCCCAAGAGAAGATCTGGGAGGATCGTTACCTTCACGGCGAGAGCGGTTCTGACAGCGGGAATAGAGAGACACCCAGCCGTCTCGCTTGTCAGAATGTGTGGCCTCGATGCACTCCCGTCCCGGCGGATCCCGTTGCAGTATATTCTCTCAGTATGTGAAGGCCATTTCGGAAGCGGTGGTGGCAATCGAGGAGAAGAAACTGGTCTTCGTGTGCAAGGACGCTTTCATGAGCATCTGCTCGATAGCACTGTGCGGATCGAAGGTGGTGGAAGCGGGGGATCGAGGGCGAAAGAGCTCGACGTTGATCCGAGGGTGCTGCAGCCTGCCGGTGATGCCTGTCCTCTGAGGAACGATGCGTTGAAGAGGGGCCGCTGGTCTTTTGCCTGACGGCGCTCGATTTCGCCAGGGGTCTGGCGTGCTAGAGCCTTTGGACCTGTGACCTTGTTGCTGCATTGTTTGTGGACAGTGGATCTGGCGGAACTGCTTTCCCCGTCATGATCTCAAGTCTTTGAGAGGTAGCCTTTCTGGTAGATCAGATATCTCGTATATACCTCCCAGATCCCTTGGTCGTGAAGGTTGTATCGTCAATTTAGCCAAGTGTGAGGCTAGAGCCGATGGCTGGTCGCGCATATGGGTCGCCCCCTGGTGTCGACTCTGGTGATTGGTCTACGCCTGGTGGAGGTGTCCGGCGAGGTAACATCGACACGGGTGCTCGGTTTGCACTCAATCTAGCGATGAGTAGGGCGAAAGATGGTGTTTGCTGTTTGGGTTTCTGGCAACGGCGCGTTGGTAAGCATAGGATGGCATCGTCCGTTGGAGGTTTCTTGCCTCTCTACTTCGCGTAAGTTTTAGATACACGGTCGCAACATGAAGCGGCTGGACGGTGAAGCCAAGATGTGTCGGGTGCCGATAACCATTTGAAAGTGGGCCGCAGCGCCGCGGTCGCGCCTTCAAGGGAGGGGCCAATGAGGGCGTGTTGCCAGCATGTAGCTAGCATGGAGCTCTGTCCGATACCGTCTCTCAAGCTCATTCCATCTACAGAGCTGGTCCGTCGAGCCGACAGAGTGCTTGAGGGTGGAGCGCAACGCGAACATGACCAGACACTTGAGTGTACGTCGAGCCGGCCAACAGCGATGTCAGCACTGCGCAACACGAGAGAAGCCGACAGCACTAGCGGAGCAGTCACGACGAAGGCTTAAGCGCTGACAGCTGTACACTTGGTAGGTGGGAGAGGCTTACCATCATGAGTTTTGGGCCGACAGCGCAAAGTGCGGGCGGCCATCCATCGCATTGCGCGCACCGCCGTGCGCCTCGATGAACCACGACACCTGTTGCACAAAGCGGAGACGATGGTGCAAATGAATGTGCAGTCTGTCTGGAGTGAGAAGCGCACGTTCGCCTCTACATCTGCCGCTTGGGTGCATGAATGGGACGTCCAACTATGGCGGGGCATACGCAGAGCGGACTCAGCTGGACGGCGGCATCGGGCGCAACACCATTAGCGCACGACCAGGGACGCATCACGAGCACAGAAGACCCGAGTACACACCAAGAATGCGCTCCATTGCTCTAGACGCACCACGCAACTGTCCTCAATCAGTAAGCTCACCGGGAAGGCTGCAGTTCTCCTCCACCTCTCTTCCTCGATCACCAGCGCAAGGCCAGTTAAGCGACGAAAAGAAAAAGGTTCGCATCAGCTCCAGACAGTGCAATAGGAGCGACACTGTGCCTCGGAACATGAGCAGCGCTCAGCGGCTCCAAGGCGAGGTCCAAAAACTGGTTTAATCAATAGAAGCGGCCCCGTAGGACCATTTTAGAGATTAAACTAAAAAGAACAACCACTGCATTTAATCTAAGCCAAAAGGCAAAGAGAGCGTTCTGAAGAAAAGAAGAGTTGGACGGTCGAGGGGCGGAGGGGTTTATAAAGGTTTCCGATGGCGCTAGCAGAGCCCTGGCACGAGACCCAGTGCGCGGGCGTGACAGCACGGGTGGGGCCTTACGTCATGCCAGTCTGGATAGGGAAGGGGGTGAGGCAAATGGAAGGCGCGGGCGGGGGGTGTATGCGCTTGGCGCGTGAGCGCGCTCTGGGCGGGTGAGACGGTGGGACATGTGGATCTCTCCATGACAGCGACGCATGCCAGGCGAAACGGAGGCGCGAGTACGATGAGCAGGAGCAAGCTTGAGATACCGAGTACCATTTCCCTAAGCGTTATATCTACATGTAGCGCCAGCACCGCAGTAACACCATGCGCTGCGCTGGCTGAGGCTGCATTGTATCTGACATCCAAAGACAACCAAAGAGAAAGACCCAGCGCCAGATCTGGCTCACTCGTCTCCTCCGGACCAGACGAGTGAGTTACGCCTCGATCTCCATCACCATGTCCGCATCACCCATTCCACCGCCGTTGCCACCATCCTGACTCCCAGCTCCATCCTCATCCTCGTCGTCCAAGCCCATGAACTCAAACTCGATGAGCTCATCGCCCATCCTCTGAACGTGCAGACAGATCAAGCAAAGCACATGACCACACCCACACACCGGCTCTCCCCTCCCCGAAAGCGCCACCAAACCGCCCGCCTGGTTCGTCCTAGCCACCTTATGGCAGCGGCAGCACCGATACGTGACCCTCCTCCCTGTCACGAACTTATCCAACTGCTCATCCGTATGCTTCGCCCCCTTCCCGCCCATGACCTCGACGAGCTGAGTGTGAAACGGATCCCGCGCAACCGCCGCGTTCTTGACCGCCTTCCGCTCCGTCGGCTGCAGGGTGTGGCCTTTGGCCGCCTCCGCCTTGCGGACCGCCTTCGTGCCGACGCTGCTGGCGCGGAGGCTCATGGTGCGCGACGCCAGGCGGTGGATGTGCTCGATGCCGGCGGATGTGTCGCCCGGGATCCGGCGCATGATGCCTAGGAGACGGTTCCAAGTGTGCCAGGGTGCGATGGTGGCCGTGCCTGGGCGGCGGAGGATAACGGGGGACGGTGTGGCGCGGTTCGATGAGTTTGAGCTGGTGGATACCGTCTGGAGACTGGCAATGGGGGTGATCGCGGTGGCTGGGCTGGTACTGTTGCCGGCTAGACCGGTCGGGAAGGGCGTCTCGCTGAATGGGTTGATGGCGAAGGAAGTCGTCGCGGGCTGGGCCGAAAGTACCGGCTGAGTGGGCGTCGGAGGTGGAGCAGCTACAGTGATTGCGCTGCTGGACTGGAGGTGCGTGGGGGCCTGGGTTCTCTGGCCAGAGTCGGTCCTGAAAGATGCTGTCAGTGATTCATTGCGGGTTCTTGGATTGGAATGGGCTGACATACTGGCGAGAAGGAGTGGCCTCGTTCATCTCAACGCCTTGCATGTTGTTGTCCGACATGGCAGTCGCAAGTCTGTGGTAGACGTTCTTGTAAACGTTGCTTCGCAATGTAGTGCTGAACGCAGAGTCGGTCGAGAAAGGTAGTTGAGAAGGGTTCGTCAACCCAGGACAGCGAAATTTTTAAGTGCACCCGTAGAGAGTTACTGAAATAGGAAACAGGACGAGTCATATGACATCGCACATACACTTAACACCAAGTAGGTAGCGGGTTAGTGAGAAGTGTCATCTGCGAATCGTCCCCTTGAAGTGCGTCTTGTTCGGGCAGAGTAAGTTCTGATGATGTTTTGAGCACAGCATCATACACTCGCGTATGGCGTTAGTCCTCAGACGTGTCCTAGTATTATTTGTCAACTTTTGAAAGAAGGGCCAACGACCACTTGACGCCAGCGGGTTAGGGACGCTCAAACAAGATCTTTCAACAGAAGGTCGTCTCCCTAGATAGCCTCAAGGGCTATCGCGTGGTCCTCGCCGGAACTTGCGAGGTGTTTCAAAGCCAGAGGATCCTGACCAACTGGCTGGAGGAACACGGTGCTAAGGTCGACTCTGCCGTCTCCCTACAGACCACGCACCTCGTCAAGGGAAAGGTGGACGACTCACACCGCGCCATTAAAGACGCCCGGATGTTCTCCAACAGGGGACAAGTAATCATATCGCAATCCGAAGCAGAATTTCTGAAGTCCATGGCATATCGGGCCGAAGCTGCGGAGGAAACCTCGGACGAGACCTCCGATTACGACGATGAGGAATCCGAGGCTACTCCCTTCCGCACCCCGCCGCCCAAGGCCTTCAAGCCCGCCCGGGCTTCCGCGTCCTCGCCGCTGGTTCACAGACCAAAGGTCCGGACCGGATCCTCTCGCGGAAAGCCGCTGAGGCGGAGGCTCGAGTCCTTTGGGTCCGCCTCGAGGAGAAGAAGAGGGAGCTCGAGGTGGTGAGGGAGGATCTCCTCCGTCTCAGAGGCTTCTGCGAGAGATCGCTGACGGCCGCGAGAGTCAGGTGCCGGAGACTCTGGACGCGAGGCCAGGTTCGAAGCCTGAGCTGGGACCAGAGGGGGCACATAATGCGGAGCTGGGGAGCCCACACCGCCGAGTGGGTTGATAGGAAGCTGGTGAGGCTTCGCAATGGGGAATGGGACCCACGGCCCCATGAGATCGCCAGGTAAGAAGTTGTGCGCAGTTGAACCTTGATTCTAGACGCTATCTAGATCATTCCTTCATCTGTCGTTACTCAGCTTCCAATCGTATCTACTTACAATCTATATAGCACTCCGCCGCCGCCACCACCGGCGACACCAGCAGCGCACGGCAACGTAGTCTGAATGGCGCACACCATCAACATCACTCATCATGGTCAAGGCCTCAACACTTCCATTTCGGGTAGACCACATTCAGAAGCGGCTTCTCATTTCAGCTAAGCCAATCGAATATCCATTTTTAGGACAACGAAACACGACAGTTTCCGGTTACGGCTCCTAGTACGCATTCAGCGTCTCGTCACCGGCCTATTGCACGAACTTCTCAGAGCCTGAGTGGATTGCTTTAGCAAATCCAGGACTATACATAACACTAAGGGGGAGCAAATCGGAAGTGGGCTGATCACAGCTTGGAAAGATGATTCAGATTACAAGTTGAACATCGGGACAGAAGGACCACTGAATGATGGAATCTAACACAGAGGTGGGAGTGCATGGGACAACACAATGAATCAATTCTATATAGGACTTGTCGTCAGACCAGTCTTTTTGCCCATCACGGGGCTTTTTGCAGTCTGAAATTGGAAGTGATATCGTGAGAAATGATGAAATTGCCTGAGACTCGTACCAAATCATGGTGCACGCCTCGCTATGCTACGGTTCCCAAGCCAAGACTACCCAGCCCTGGCAATAAAGCAGACGAAAGCTCAAAATCAAATTAAAACCGCATGAAATAACCCAGACCCGAACCCGAACCAAAAACCGAACCAAAAACCAAAACCGAACCCAAAACCAGAACCGAATCCAAAACCAAAACCGAATCCAAAACCAAAACCGAATCCAAAACCAAAACCGAAACCGAAACCAAACCTCTAGAAGAAGAAAAGGCTACCCAGGAAAATCCATAAAACTTTTAAAGCGCAACCGCGCTCGTCCCGCTGCTGCTGCTGCTGCTGCTGCTGTTGCTGCTGCCGCTCCCGCCACCGCAGCAAACCATGATGTCGACGCCGATGCTCCAGCCGCGCAAAACACCCCCCATCCCCCATCCCCCATCCCCCTACTCCTCCTTCCTCTCCTCCCCGCTCGGCAGCGGCGGCAGCGGCTTCTCGCCCAGCGGCCAATCCGCCTCCTCCCCCTCCTCCTCCTCCTCCCCCTCCTCCTCCTCCTCCCCATCCTCCTCCTCCTCCTCCTCATCCTCGTCCTCCTCCTTCTCCTCCCAAAACGGCAACAACTCCCACTCCTCCAACCCCTCCACCAAGCCCCTCCCGGGCAACGCCTCCGACAACGCCACCCCCACCGGCCCCCGCGGATGCACCATCATCGACGACGAGCGGACGGGCCACGCGCCGCGCCCGCCGCGCCCGGACAGCGGCCGCGAGAAGTTGGGGATCGGCCGCGCGCGGCGCCGCGCTGCGATCTCGGCGGCCATGGCGGCGGTGGCGGCGGCGACGGGCGAGCGCACCGGTGCGATGCGCAGCGGCGCGGGCGGCATGGTGCGCGCTGGTGGTGGTGCGGTGCGCAGCGGCGCGGTGCGCGCTGGGGCGGTCGGCGTGAGGACTGGCGCGGGCGGGAGGAGGGGCACCGTCGAGGGTCGCACCCAGCACGCATCGACGGGGAGGTTGACGACGCGCCGCGGGCGCGCGCCGGCCGGGATGTAGGCGGCGGGGGGAGGCGGCGGCGGCGGGAAGCGTGGCGCGGGTGAGGGGGGCGCGGTGGAGAAGCGCGGGGCGCGGCGCGGGGGGGTGGTCGGGGTGGTGGTGGTGGTGTTGCTGCTGCTGCCGGTGCTGGTGGTGGTGGTGTTGTTGTTGCTGCTGGGCGAGGGCAGCGCGACGGGCAGCGGGAGGCGGGCGGGAGGAGGTGAGCGGCCCAGGAGCGACGGCAGCGGCGGCGTGGTGGTGGTGGTGGTGGTGGTAACGGCGGCAGCTGCTGCGCCCGGCAGGTCTGCCGTCGAGGCGTTGAGGAGCCGGAGCTTCCTCAGGCCGTCGACGGAGCCTCCGGGCGACAGCGAGGAGGTGGAGGCGGCGGCAGGGCTGGTGGCGGCGGCGCGGGCGGGCTTTGATGGCGAGGCCATCTTGATGGGGGTGGTTGTGGTTGTGGTTGTGGTTGTGGTGGTGGCGTTGGTGGTGATGGCGGTATCGTCAGTGTGTGGAAAGGCTGGGAGAGAAAGAGAAAGAAAGAAGATCTAAGCTGTCAGGTAGATATAAGAGCGGGCGTAGAGTTACAATGAAGTGTCTGGCGGGTCACGGGTGATGGCACGCCCGCTTCACTTTCACTTCTAATTTTCAACACTAACACATATAGCATCAACAAGCGAAGCTTGCGCTACGCCATTTCATGGTGAGTGCGCTCTTTCGCAGTGATCGTGGGCAAGATGTCCAGATTGGGGCGTCTCAATATGGGTATGGCTGTCCTGGAATCTCAGTTCTTGTCTACGAAAGCGTCGTTAGCGCTACGCCAGTACGGACTGACACCGCGTTTCAGCTTGGAAGTTGCGCTGGGGTTTCCGGTATATATTTCGAAGCATATGGGCAAAAGCTGAAATGGACAGCCAAATATGAAACAGAAGCGCCAGTTGTAGTGAGATTAAACGACGTTAAAGACTGCGCGCAATTGGGCCCAATAGACCGGCCCGATCCGCGCTTCCACCTCACCAAGAACCTGTTTCCAGCTCCAACCTCAACCAGAAATCGCCTTGTCCCGCGGTATCATGCCAATCCTGCCGTCAATAGAGACGGATTAAAGCTCACCGCATGCTATAGACGTTACTCCTCATCCCCATGCTGGTCACACCCGCACCCACGTCCTCCCCCCCACCCAAGTCCCCATCTGCATACGCATACGCATACGCATACACATACCTCTCATACCGCAGCCGACGCCGCAGCCGACGCCGCAGCCCTGTCCCACTGCCCGACGAAGCGCTCCACCGCATCCCAGCCGCCGTCTCCGCCCCGCCCCGCCCCGCCCCAACACAGACTCTGCACGGCACCGCTAGCCGCACCCGCATATATTTTGTGATCTCCGATGCATACCCGAGCGCGGCGCGCTGGCTGGCGGTGCTGGTGTCGGAGGGCACTGGCGGGAGAGCGCGGGGACGTAGCCGCTCGTCGGCCATGACGGTGGGGGCATAGGACCGTTTCTCGCGGTGGATATCGTGCTGGGCGGGTGCGGTCGAGGCGGGAGCGAGGGCGAGGGTGGGTCGACGCGGTTGCGGCGGATGACCATGGGTGCGGTGACGATTTGGGCGGTGGTGGTGGTGATGGGGTCGGTTTGGGTACTCGTGGTTGCGGTTTTTGTGTTTGGCGCTCGCGGGCTGGTTGGTACGCGTGGTGGAAGGGAGGGGAGATTGGAACTTGGTGCTTGCTGCGCCGCTGAGCTGTTCGGGCAGAGTATAGCAACGCCAAGGTATAGCTGGGAAGTTTGTGGGCTCCGTGGAGGGGTACTGCGTTAAGGGTCGGTTTTTACTCCACTGCCAGTCTCCTTGGGAGTGGTGAACAATATGTAGAAGCCCGAGGTAACTCAAGCCATGCCTTATAGTAACCTTGCATCGAAAGATCTATAGATCCTATGAATTGGAGAAGCGAGACGCTGCTATTAACCTTCATATCTCTACAAGAAAACGACAGGAAAGCATGTGTAGCTTGTGGAGTGGCCTGCTTCAGCGAACAGTCATGCATCGAACGTTTATTATAGTTATATATAGCGTTCTACAGTTGCACATCAATCCTGTCTGGGAGAAATTGAGAAAAGCTTCACGGTCTATGACATAACTTCTAGGGACAGGCTCCGTTTATTCAGTGATGGATATTAGTGGAAAGCGAGAAAAGTGATCTTTCAGTTCATAGCCTGGAAAGGCCTTTATCTATTAGAACTGGGGTCTCGCCATATTAAACTTAGAGCAATTTCCTTTCCTTTAAGCCGTAAGCTATACATTGGTCAACATCTTATTATTCCTCATACACTCCTGTTTTGACCTGTTAAATTCTGGGGAGAATGGCCGCAGCGGCTCTAGAAGAGTCTTTAAGCATTTAAAGCTTTCGTAGATACCGAATAAAAATCTAAAGCTTCTCGAATAAAGACAGGTCCTCTAGTTATAAAGAAATTTTATAGTTATCGTAAAGGCTGCAAGACAAACTTTCGATGTTGAGTAAGCATTAATATATACCACTTTCCACCTGGCTAAGCCTCGAATTATGGGACGCTCGAGCACATAACGTGGAAAATGTGTATCTAATTTGAGCGCACTGCACTATACACTCGGTAAGCTTATATCTAAGAGCGTATAAGCTTTACATGCATTTATTATATAAGGCGAACCGAAGGTTTCGGTAAGGCTCTAAGAATCAAGCCAAGTATTCTCTTCGAATCAGCCAATCGGAAGAGAAAACTTGGCTTGGGTCTGGGGCATGAGTGATTTTATGGAGCCGGAAGGAGCTTTAGTATTTATTTTGAGGGACTATAGCCCAAAGGCCGCATCGGATTAGTTCTCGATATCAGCCGAGAGAAATTCGGGTCATTTTTCCTTACAGTCTCCTTGAAAATAGATTGAGCACAGAAATTCAACTAATAGCCGCATTGCTGTACTAACGTTTTTCACGCTCTTTAAGATAGCGAGAAGGAACTAATTCGGGAGAGCATGCCGGCTGGGACGCTACCGACGACCTGGTAGTGGTGAAACCGGGTACCGGCATGGCATAGTTTCTCAGGGTCTACCCATTGTTACGGGTCCACCCATTGTTAAGGCTCGGTCTATTGTCAAGGGTCCACCCATTCCAAAGTTGGACCATATGAGACTTTTGACTGAGCCACTGAGCCGCCGTGAACCATGGCAAATTTTTCGTAGTGACAGCGTATGTACAAGTCGATCTCCCCGTAAATAAATACCTCGTAGCTGAAGCCATTGTGCCTCTCGATTCGCTAGACTTCTATAGGCAGTGTCAGCAACCATCAAGTTGCACTATTTCAACCACGTCTATCCGACATCTACCACCCACAGCACCACCAACAACGAAAACGACAACGAAAACGACAACGAGCATAATAACGACGATAACAATAACGATAACAACCACACCAACGACAACAACCCTTTGCATTTCCCCAACATCCCTCGCAACATCCTCTCTTGCCACACCGGCGGCACTCACGAAATAGAGCCCCACGCCCCCTACGCCCCCAACACCGCCTCGCACATCACCTACGTCAGCCGCATCACCGCCTCGTCCGCCGAGTTTCCATTTCTCCTTACGCCCGCCGGCCCATCTCATCCGCCACGAGATAGCCGACAACATCATGAGCATGCCCCCGCCCCGCCTCTCCGCCACCCAGATGCGCGACAGACAACAACAACGGCAGCCGCCGCCGCCGCCGCCGCCGCCGCCTGTCCACGGGCCCGTGACGCTGGAGCGGTATCGCAGTCTGGTGGCCGAGTCGGAACAGAAGGAGGCGCAGCGAAAGGACAGGGAACGGCGGCGGGGAAGGACGGGGCCGGTGGCGGTGGAGGACGGCGGTCGTGCGGTGGAGATGATGAGGGAGCGCAACGAGATGATGCAGGTGGAGGAGGAGGAGGTGAGGAGGACCGAGATGGCGATGGTGAGGGCGGGGGCGGAAAAGGCGCCTGCGGGGCATGTCAGGGCGCAGATGTCGAGGTATGTGGATGGGCGCGTGAAGAAGAAGGTGTCGGATGGGTTGGGGAGCGCGTTCCAGAGGTTGGGGAGGGATGAGATGGCGAAGCGGATGAACGAGTCGGAGGATCCGGAGTGGGTCAGCGATAAGAGGAAGAGGGAGGCGAAGTTGGTGGAGACGAATAATATGGCGGCGAGTATGGGAGTGGATACTCCGTTTCTGGAGGAGATGCTGGGTGTGAAGCTGAAGTGTGAGCTTAATTGGGCGGCGCAGAAGAGGAATGTAGATCGACCTGGAGAGCCAGAGGAAAGGAGGCGTGAGGAGTAGAGTAGGTGCGAAGAAGCCGCCAAGAGCAGCGAGAAGAGGAACCTGATCCAATCAAAGTTAGTCTGGAAGATACGCATAATGCAGGGAGATCATACGGCTCTGAGGTTGTAGGTATCAACTACACAATACTCACTCTCCAAAATTGATCCCGTAATAACCACCCACCACTCGTCACCCACAGCCCAGTCGAACAAAGTAGTCTGAATTGTCAGATAGTGATTAACAAGTGTATTGCGGTGCTCCTTATTGTTGTTGATCGCAATGACACTCAGGCAGCAAGCCACACTGTTGTTCTCGTGGTGTTATCGCAACGATTGACATCTGCGGTCAAGGTTCAGCGTGTGACACACCGGTAACTGTTAAAGACAAGCATGAACTTATGGAAAAGGAAACCACGGGCCGACACCAATATGACCTACCAGGCATGGATACCCTACGAGTAGGTTCAGAGGGCGATATGTTCCCGGTGATGTTCAGGACAGGCTTGAAGGACCGGCTGATCCCATGATGACCCATTGTATGCTCGTAGAGAGCATTCAAGTGTCCGAACTTCCAATGGCTGCAGCCAGATTCCTCGCACCACGGCCATTTAGGATATGCCCTGTATTTGTCCATCTCGTGTGAAGACCGAGCATCGCTGCTGTTGCATGGAAGAAGCAGAAGATGCGAACTGACTCGAGCTACGGTAGTGTGAGCCCGGAATGCGCTTACACTAAAAGAATATCAAAGTCAGTTTAGGTAGGGCCTCGAAGAGGTGGCATTCTATGCCGCCTGGACTTACTCATCACTAACCCAGACAGCTCGAATGTGTCCGAATGTACCTACCACGTTCATGACTAGCACGCATGTAGTATAGCTCAGACTTGCTTGTACCCGAAAGTTTTGTTGCAGCTCAACATGTTTCCTAGGGAAAGGGATGTCTCGCTCGAGGCTGGGACAGAGCGGCGCACCAGCAGGCTGATCGCGGTCGATATTCCGTAGCCGCTGCTGCTGATGGAGGCAGATGGGGAGCGGCGGCGGTAGTGGTTGAGCTGACAGCAGTTGTAATGATTGTAGTAGAGGAAAAGAGGGAGGGTTCAGGCGGGCTGTGGGTAATGTTTAGCCGGAGGACGCAAGAGACCCTTGTCAGTACCTACGCCTATGGTGACCCAATCGATTGGTAATATGATGCCTAGCTTAACCCCTACGCCAACCAAATCTGTTGTCGCGCAACTGTAGTATGTCCAGCGGTCATGACGCGCGTCTGACGCGCGTGACAGAGTGTTGGTGATGCGATGGAGGCAGTGCCGCTGATGGTACGGAACGCAGTGATGCTGGGCCTGCTACCGTAGCTGGACTGAACGGAGGTCGTATGGAGGCGAGAGCGTGCGCAGTAGTTGGTTGATGACTCACGAACGAGGAGGCCGTGCCGGTGCAGTCGCATATCCTCGTCAATCCGTGCATGTTGCATTGAATGGGTTACTGGTTCCCAGGGAAGCAAATAGGATGTTCAAGGTGGTGGAGGTTGGAGGGTGGCTGAAGAGATCGAGGATGTAGGGCAGCGATCTGGAGAGGAAACGATTGGCGAAGCTGCTGGTGCTCTGGGAGGGCACACTCACACACGGGCCGGCATTACGCCAACGGGAAGCCCCCCCACAACACTCGCCGCAGTATCACGGGTTCTCGCGCACACCTCGAGTAGAAAGCGTCCCTAGACGTTTCAGTTAGTCTCTAGAAAAACATGGAGAGAGACGGTACGAATCGTACATAGAGGAAGCTCAGTTTTACCTGTCATAACATTCATCTACGAATGAGCGCTTCATGCAGGAGGATCCTCTGCTGCACCACGCTCGATGGCCTGACTCTGCAAGCTAGCTGATCGGATACAGTGTAACCTCGTGGATCCTTGGAAAAAACAAGGCGCGCCGATTCTTCTACACGACTGCCTGGCATATTTCGCATGACTGCTTAGTCGCTCTTTCCATTCTTGCATGGCTATCTGATTGAGCTTACCTTCCGTCCACAAGTCTCATGACCGCCCGAATGATTGCTGCATTCACCTGGGAGGGTCCGAGATGGTCTACGACATTTTGCTTTGGTTGGTCTGCTTCGAACAGCGGCCTGATCCTCCAATTCCGAAGACGGAAGCCGCATCTGTGCGCTTGCCCGACTGCCTCGCTGTTGGTTTCGCTCGTCTGATGGGGTCTACGAGGATCCACGAGGTTCTGCCGTCTTTGGTCGGTCTGCTCCGAACACCTACCTCATACTCCACCTCATCCAGCTTATGCTATCTCACCCACTCTGCCAACGCACTGCGTCGCTCACCGCATCGCTTGACAGCCTTCTTCTCTCGCTCTTATCGCCATTGGCCTAGGTCAGTGGTGTACGCTCCTTGGAGGTGATGCAACCGGCTTCGCCGGCAGCCAACCCTCCCTCCGGCCATGGGCTGCACCTACAGCCAGCGCTCACCTCATGGTACCGACAGCCAAGGTAAGATTAATGACACCGATAGCTAGCGCTTATATCGTTGTACTGACAAGAAAGCAGAATCGCCCCGACAAACTCAGTCGCGTCACCGGTCATCACGAACTATACCTGCGCCCGAGACTTCTACGATACTCCGACACCACGCGCAAGTGAGCGAAGCGCGGTATCCCCCACACTAAAGTTTGGGCCAAAAGTGTCGTCCAACAAGCTGCCTTGCCCGGCCACTCCAATCTTCACTACTCGGGCATATGACGGACCAAAAACATTACGCTGCCCATAGAGGTCCATACAACAACTCAGTCCAAGCCACCACAACACCTGTCTGCAAGACTTCCAGAGGCTTCATGCAAGTGTTCGCTGCCAAGGTACTCGGAGACTCCATCGGACGCACAAAACTCTTACCGGCATCCCGAAGACGCGAGAGGGGCCTTGTAAGTTCTGCTCTCGAAATAGCTTGACGCACTCATGCTGACGCAACTGTAGCTCCCTGATAGGTCCTATACTATGACTACGGTCTTCCGAAGATCATCTACAGCGCGTAGCTGGAGCTTGAAAGACAAGACACAAGTAAGGAGAAGTGCTTCCAGGAATTGGAGGATCAGAAGAAGGCTTCGCCCCGATCGATTTCCCCGCTGCTTCCGCTCGGCCAGCCAGAACGCGGCCTGGCCTCGCTCCCGCCTGACTCGGAGTCCGCCTGCCCCTGGGCAATAATCCGACGAAGGACTGTGGAAGAAGAGACCATACACACTCTGTGGTTCCGGTGGGACCGACAGCTCTCCGGATGGGTGGTCACAGAAGACCAGCCCGGTACTGGGGCTGCGCCCTCCCGGCTGCCCCAGTTCTTGGGGCTGGACCCTTCGCCGGTCTGAAAGCCGCTTACACGGCTTTGTCCAGCGGTTACTTTGACCACAGTTTATCTAAAGAAAGAACATCCTCGCGCATAGCGAGGACCCCGACGCTCTTATGAGCGCATGACCTCAAAGAGGTCACAAGATATTTCCTCCAGGTCTATTCGCCTTGTGGTTTCCGGACCACAAAGTCATTACTCCAGGTCTACTTTTGCTCCTGCGGCCTTCGGCTTGGGTCAGTGCAGTCTGCACTGGCAGTGCACTCTGCATTGTTAGTGCAGACTGCACTGACTTCTTCAAACAATGCCGTGCCGGCCTTCAGCGGAGTTCTTGCTCGACGGCGCAAAGCACCACAATTACGTCGAACTGAAAACTACCGAATGGATCGACGAGGCGCACCTGGTCGCCCCTACTGGGGCTTAGACGACAAACTCGTTCCTCCAGGTCTATTTCCCACCTGGCATACCTGCACCGCAGAATCGTTACTCCAGGTCTACTTTCGGCTCTTGAGCGGAAGAACTGGGCGCTGCAGCGCAGAAACAACGAGATGGAGCGGAGGAACAAGGAGCTCGAGGAAAGAGATGAGGAGCTCCGTATGGAGCTTCAGTTGCTCAGGAGGCACGTGTTAGACTTGGAGGAACTGCTTCGTAATTTCATTACTCCAGGTCTACTTTCCGCTCATGTGGATGCTGGGGGAGAACCAGCAATTCGAGAATACAGTCTTCGCGTGGGTCTGAGGTGAATGAAGGGAGGAGGAGTGGGGGATGGGCACAAAAGGGTGATTGTTGTTGTATGACCACAGCCAGACAGCGCGCGGAGAAATTCTGATGGTCACGGAATGAGATAGGATTTTGCTATTTTCCATAAAGGACCTCCATCAATCGTCCCAGGTCAATCCATATCCCCTCCTCCGCTGCTGAACCCTCGTGTACGTGTCCAGCAAAGCACAACCAAACGCCCACCAACCCATCATCCCCACATAGCCTTCCCCGCCCATACAAACCACTCCCCAATCAACCACCAACCCCACCGTAAACCCCAACCCCCTCCAGCCAATGTGCAACCAACCAAACCCCCCAGGTCCCTCCATCAAGGCTCAAGCCCCACCAGCAGCACCCCCCTCCCCCGCAGCACCAGCAGCAGCACCAGCACCAGCACCAGCAGCAGCAGCAGCCGCACCCCCCTCCATCCCAGCCCTCCACCCCCTCGCCACCATCGCCGCCTCCCCCGCCGCCCTCGCCACCACCTCCATCCTCGCGCACCTCTCCGTCATCCAGCGGCGCCACTTGCGCGCCCACCACGCCATGCCCCACTGCCAGCGCGCGCGCAGCGCGCGGTGCTCGATCTGCGCGAGGAACCCGGCCTCGCACGCCGTCAGCCGCCACGGCGCGAAGCCGGCGATGCGGCCCCACGCGCCGCACGCGAAGGGCTCGTCGTCGACGACTTTTTGCGCGAGCATCAGCGCGGTGCAGAGGAGGAGGTCGGCGTGGCGGTGGGGCGGGAGGGGGCTGGTGTCGGGGGTGGTCATGTCGATGTCGGCGGTGGTGGGCTGAGGCGAGGCGGGCCGGTGCGGGTGCGGGTACGGGGTTAGGGGCGGGAAGGAGATCGTGATGGAGGTGCAGGTGGGGGGTCCGGAGACGTTGAAGCTGGGCGAGTTGCGGTTGTTGAGGGGGATGAGGGCGCGTTCGGGGTTCGGGTTGGCGGTGGGCTCGTTGTTGGTGATGGGGAGCTCGTTGTTGATCGCATGCTCGTTGTTGATCGTATGCTCATTGTTGTCGTTGGCGAGCTCGTCGCTGTAGACCGAGTTGCTATAGACCTCGTTGTTGTAGTTCGCAAGCTCGTTGCCGTGGAGCTCGTTGTTGTAGTTTGCGTGTTCGTTGCTGTAGAACTCGTCCTCGTAGAGCTCGTCCTCATAGAGCTCGTCGCTGTAGAACTGGTTGCTGTAATACTCGGGAAGACTGCTGGCAGCTTCATCAAGGACTGGAGTGGAAATGGTATTGGCCATCGTTTGGAGAATGTCAGGCGCAGAGGCAGTGCGCATCATGCGGACGCCGTGATCGCCACTGGCAGTGTAGGGGTCGGCAGCCATGTCATCGGCGTTGTTGGTGGTAAGACCAGTGTTGGCTGTGGCGGCGTTCGTGGCCGTGGTCGGTGGGACTTCCGGCGCCGCGAAGGCGGTCGAGATCATGTTCAGGTAGTAGGATAGAGCGAGGAAGATGCTCTGGATGTCTGAGTCCGTTTTGTCCAGGACGCGAGAGAGCCACTCTTTGAAGCGGATGCGGGCGTCTGGATACGGCGAAAAGTGTGGGTTGAAGCTGAGATTGTGTTAGTGCGTGGCGTGCTTGATAGTAGGGGTCAGGGGTAGGAGAGAGGGAACTAAAAGAGGAGGAACTGGTAGGATTGGAAGTACTTACATTCCAGCACCTACTTCGACGATGAACTCGGCCATCACATCCGGGTCGTAGCGAGTGATGGGCAGATGAACGAGAGCAGACGCCAGAGGTGAAGTGTCCAATCCAGGGCCTAAGGGGCGGTGTGGCTCTAAGCCGGTGTTGGTGGCATCCTGGACGGGCTGCATGGACGTGTCGCCGTGGCCGTTAGGGTCTGCGGGCGGCATGTCGGGCTAGAGAGCAGTCTCGGTGGTTCTTGGGTTTTCGAGGCTGTCGGAGTCTTGTTCGAAGTTGTAGATGGTAGAAAGAAGCTGGGCGGTCGAAGAGGGTTCATAAGAGCGATGCCCTAGGAAGTGAATGTAAACTACGCGAGCTGGCCCGTGGCAAGGAAGAAGGCGGTGGGTGTGTTTACCTGTCGAGTAACACTGCAAGTGCTCTCAGCGTCAATCTCCGTTTCCCGTCAGTCCTCCAACATCGTTGTGCATGTATCCCAATTGTTCATCCAGATCAACATGCCAAGAACGATTCGGGGAAAAGGATCGTAACCAGCAGAGATGACTCTCATCAAACCTGCTGCACCAGCAACGAGTTTAATGAGAAACCGGTACAGAAAGACCAATCCGCCATATCGTGCCATCGTGCCGAGCTAACATCTTTCGCCAGCTTGATACCCACAGTGAGCACCAGCGGAGCATCACCTTCCTGCTCGGGGTCCTTACACAGGACCACAAGCCAAACGTACGCCAGTTCCAGGGCCACGAAAACTTCAAATCGATGGGGTGTGGTTATTGCGAGCAGTTGCCGAAGGGGTTCTCTGGGATATATGGTTGCGGAATACGAGCTGCGGCTTTTAAAGCACGTTGATAGATCCAATACACTGCGGCGAGACTGGACGGCTCACTGGACAACGAGCAAAGCCGCAAGGAATCTAGCCCTGTCGATGTCGAAATCCATATTTTCCGAATCCTCTTCCATAAGAAGGCTCGATGAGGACGTCGGAAGGTGAGTGGGTGCTTGCGGAAGGTCTACCATATCTCTTTTAATGATGATGTGTTTGCTGAGCTGTTCCACAGGTAAGGAGAATGTAGAAATCAAAAAGCGAAGGGACTCCAAGGCTCCCGCTGTAATTGCCACACATTCAAGCTCATGAGACAATGCATCCGAACAAAGGCAGAGGCACTGATCCGATAGTTCTTTTCCCGAAATCCATGAACAATCTTTCAATTTTCCTTCTGTCGATGAACCTCCAGTCCTGAAGGGAAGTGCTATGTAGATACGTACTTGATACCCCGAATTGGTCCATCAGAAACGAAATCCATGTCGAAATAGAGGCCACAAGCAACGAGCTTTGATCAAACAAAGGGGCCAAATTCATCCCTTCTCACAGACAATCATAGCTATGCATGGAATGCCGACACCAAGCCCTCCAATTCCTCACTTGTTCTTGTGCTTCTTGTCTTCGAATGTCATGCTCTGAACTTCGTCAGAGCTATCGCAACGGGCACGCTTGCTTTTCGCGACTTGTTCAGCATCGCTTCCCTCCTCCTTGCCATCGACCGCGGGTTGGGCCTCCGAGCCCTCGTGATTCTCCAGGCTCATGGGCCTATGCTGGAAGTTGAACACCGGTTCCTGCTACTCGGCACCCGCTCATCGTTAGCGAAACATAATCTTGCCCCGAAAACCTCCCGCTAGGGGAAGAGCTTTACTCGCCTGGTCAGACATTGCGACATCGACGCTGTCAATCCAATCCCGTACGTGAATCATGCGCATCAAAGTTTCTCGGAGCTCCCTGAGGGCGTCGTTGAAGGTTGTCCATACGGACGTCTGCACCCAGACCATTCTCTGCTCTGGGAATGGCAGTGGACGGAAAGATGGAGTGATGTCTGTGTCGTTGTTCAGAGCAGAGGCGACCGCAGGATTGCTCGTTGGTAGCACGACGGCTGGTACCGTGCTTGCTTCGGAAGTAGGCATTGCATGCTGGTCTTGCAATTGGGGCTGTGCCTGTGGCTGCTCTGGTTTGGCTTGGCGAACAACGAGGAAGACGATGTGAGCGCTGTTGTTGACTCCAATGAGGTGATCAATTGCAAAGAACTGAGCTAGCGAGGGCCAGCAGCTGCGAGCAAGGACTGTGAGCGTGATGTTAGTGAAAGACTCGACGCAGTACTCAGTAGCTATTGAGACAAACGTGGAGACAGAAGGAGAGAGGAAGGGGGGATGGGGAGGGGGGACATGGCTGAGGGCGGTGGGCAGTACGGTGAATATGGCGGGCGATGAGCAGTGGGTCTTCATCTTGGCTGACAACGGGTGGGGATACGTTGGCATCGCCGCCGGGCTGAGGTATCGTAGGCTCGATGGCAGGCTGAGACATCGCGGAGTCGGCGGGGATAGTGGGGCGTTGTAGGTGGAGGAGACGTTGTGTCCATGGAGTGGGAGGGTGGGAGGGGAAGATGAAGCAGTAGCGTACTTGCCGCCGCAGTCGTCAAGTAAAGGAACTAGGCCTAATACGCCGCCGGCGTCGACGCAGAGGCAGTCGCCCATGGGGTCATAGCTCGGGGTACATGCCAATTGGGAGGGCAATGACGTTGTTTCTATCTTCTCGAAGCAATGTCGTGTTGGCCATCTAGTGTGCCATCCCAGTCCCTTTCAATTTGTTATGTGACTCTCAGCCAGCCTGGGTCTTCCGTTTTCTGGCCCGTCATCTATGTATTATCAATCGTGTCAGCCTCAGCAAATGGTTTCCTGGCATGGCGGAGCTCACCATGACCTTAGTCCACCTAGATGGCAGCTCCGGCGGCCTCGTTCTCAGCCTCACTCTGGCTCTTGTGCTCGCTCTCGTCCTCGTTCTCCTTGTTGTCCTCGTCCTCATCACTGTGCTGCGACATCAGATGAATCGCGCACCGCGCGCCGAGAGAGCCGACGAAGCCCTGGTCCAGCTCTTCTTTGGCCTTGCTGTACGCCTTGATCATCTTCAGGAAGAGCTGCTCGTATGCGTCTGTGCCTGGCCCAGTCGCAAACGGAACCGCGGGTGCCGACCAGTAGATGTTGCTGCGGGGATAATGCTCGAAGTCGACGCCCATGGAGCACCAGCGCTTACCGCCACCCGTGTAATGGCGAATGCGGATGCGGCTTGCGGCGGGCCACAGCGCGTAGGCGAACGCTGGCGTGGTCGTGGGCGTGGTCAGCTAGCGCGCAGTGAGGTGGGAAGAGGGAGAATGCGACGCGTCGCAACGTACACATGACAATGTCGTTGATAGAGCGCAGAGGGGCAGAGCCGTCGCGTTGGGGCGGCATCGTGGCAGTCTCGCGCGGGGTGTGGATGTTGGGTGGGTGTCGCAGTGTGGCGAGTCGCGAGGAGACGCGGATAGAAACCGGGCGGCGCAGATCATCGAACGGTCAGCCGCGCAGAATCCCCGACCGCGGGGACTCTGTCGAGGAACGGCGGTGAGCGCCAGGTGGTATGTCTATCTACTCCGACCAGTATTGCATTGCTGCAGATGTTGCTAATCAGGCATCCGCAACAGGCCCTCCACCGTGTCTGGACCTTCATACGACCGTACAACGCTTTAGTTCAAGACTCAGATGAGCTCACGATACAAGTTGCGACACTTCTCAACAAGTGACGGGGCCAGCGCGCAGTGGATTTCCCGCGGAGTTTGCTCACGGTCGGAATATACGTACGCGCATGTCTGCCTACCCGCCTGGCTGGCTGCCCGCCTGCTAGGTCACAAAGACTGAGCCCTTACTTGTTCAGGCAGACGAGAGGAATATGAGATGAGCGGTCAGACCAAAGCGTGTACGTGAGATATACTACAGTGAGGCAGATGACAAGCGCGAAGTCGTCCAGCGGGATCGGCGACAGAGGCCTATCCTCGCCACACTCGAGCTGAAGGAACTTAGCGGCCTCACTTCCGCCAATGTGTACAAAGATTTTGAGGAGCTCTGGCGGCTGGTCTGACCCGTACTCCTCCGCGTTTGGAAGACGGTCTACGCCGCCAGCATTACCGTGACAGACGATGCTTATCGTGGACATAGCGCTCGAAAAGCAGGCAGGACCGGCCAAAGACTTGACTGCTCAGAATCGCTATCTAGTCGCGATGAGGTGGTCCAACAAGAGGAATGAGATTGCGGGCTTCCGCCAGCGCGTGTCACAATTTCGTGCCGTGATCTGCTACTTCTCGTAAAGTCACTCGCCGCTGTCTAGAGATCTTAATCTAAGCTCGCGCTACCCGTCGTTCCCGCTTGCGATAAGAGTGGGAGCTGAAGATGGCTCTCACCCTCGCAAGATTTCGGCAAAAAAGTAAGCTCTTCCTCCAGAGCCTGCGCATGGCAAGCTGCTAAACGAAAAGAAGTTGTGCGAGGAGCGCCGCGCAGTGCAATGCGGGCTCCTCTTTTCCAAAAATTGTGTAGTAAATGTTCTGTTGAAGAAGAAGAGAAAAAGGAGGATTCGGGGGGAAGGGCGGGCTTTTATAAGTTTAGAAACCGGGCATTGGCAGGTGCGCATGTGACTCCCGGCTGCCCAGGCAACCATCGTCGGCGCGAAAATCACCCGGTGCCGTCACATGGGAGTGAATGTGAATCTGTATCGGGCAGTTTGGCCTCGATATATGCGCCGGGAGATCATCACCGCGAGTGAATTTCAGGAGGCATCTCAGGGCCATTTCGGAGGCCCGGACCTCTTTTCCAGCTGAGTTCCTGCGCTAGCAGCTGCCGCTAATCACTAGCATTGAGAAATAGCGAATGACTGATTTTCAATCGAGTCTGCCATCAGATAATCCTGCCTGCCGCCCATCGACGTAAAGGGAAGCAAGCGGTCCGGCTCCTGCCTCATCCACGGTGAAGACACTGCCACCAAGAGCCCATGACCCAAGGTTCGCCGCGCGTCCCGAATGCTAACCTCCAGCCTCAGTCTTCACTCTCTGGTAAGCACCATGCTAGATCTCACCACGCCACATCCAAGTAACAATGAAGCATCCCATGCCTATCCCGACGAAATAAGGCCGCTTCTTAGCGTCCGCCTCCGCATCTGCCTGTATTCTCACGCCGAGTCGACCCTATCCCTCTGTTGTCCACACTGCGCGCAACTCGGGCCCGCCTGCACAAGTCTTGCTGCCCATTCTCACCCGGAAACGCCACGCCCGCTAGCAGCAGCCGGCCTTCCGCCGCCTCGCTGCACGTATGGTAACCATTACAATCACTTCTCCTGTGAAGGGAGTGCGGACGTCAGTGCTTACACTGGAGACACGACCTCGTGCCATAGCTTGATCGAGGTCATCGGCGTCTCTTCCGCCATCCGCAACATCGGCATACGCATCAGGCGCGACTGGCCGAGTCGCCGTGCAACTGCTAAGTTGTACACACACGATAAAGTGGTCCAGGATCGCGGTTGAGTCTAGCGAGGCTTGCGGTACAGTTCTAAAGGCCTTGCTTGATGTAAGAGCCAGGGTGGAGAAGCTCTATGCTGATGCCAGCACAGGGGATGGTCCGACTGCCCATCTGTCATGAACGACTCAGTGGTGCGATCCAAAGTACCTAGAGCCATCGAGCTCGAGGACAACTTCCCCGACACTGGGGTGAGTAACGATCATGACCTCGAATACACCGTCAAGTACGACGCGCAACCACAAGCCCGGAGATAGAAGAGTGTGCGACGATATCGACCAAGAGCCTTTTGCCGGCTCTGCCAGCAGAGCAGCAGCAGCAACACCGCCGCAGTCCTACCTCCTGGCAGACTCGCTGCAGGCCAACAACTTCGACAGTAAGCCGCATTCTTCTCAGTTTCTGCTTGTGTATATACTGACTGAGGCTCCGACCGTAGGCAGCAAGCGTACGCTCGGCAGCGAGAGGGCGAAGGCGACCTGGCGCAAGATTAAGGCGAATACGGAGATGTGGTGGAGTATCATCTCGAGCTCTTGTCGGTCGGACAATCGGGGCACAATCACCTGTGCCGACCCGCGCTCTGGCCGCGGAGGCCAGCATCTGGCACAGTCTACCTGCCACGATGTCCTCCCGCAGGATGCGTCTGCGTGGGTGCTGGGAGGGATACTCGGGCTGTGCGGATAGCAGAGGGGTGCCGATGGTCGTCCTGGACGAGGAGCTGCCCGAGGGAGCTGCCGATGCACTGAGGGCGGAAGCATGGGCTGTTTACTTGCACGTCTCGGTCGGCGCGGTCGTACTCTTCGTGGAGACGCAGCTTGGAGGACGTCTGGATGACGATACGGACGATGCGATACAGCTACGCCTCTCAGTTCGAAGTTTGGTTCTCTCCTCATGGCAATCATGGAAAGAGGTGGCTTCGATGCGATATGGTCAGGTTTGGAATTGAGCCGCTGCTTGCTGCTGTTGCTGCTGCTGCTGCCGCCGCGCCTCTCAATCACGGGCGTCTTGGGAGATGGCAACGGGGTGATGACACCTGTCACAAATCAATCAATGGCGCTATTCTGCCCAACGTCCCGCGAATCAAGCTTCTTTGTTCAGCTCTTATCTTCAACTGTTGGAAGGCCGCCTTGGAGCATTGTTTTCAGTTTGACTTTCAGGTTTGAATGTCTGTGTTACCTTGTGAACACTGCTTTCCTTCTAAAGTGATTTGGTTCAAGCGAAGTTCCCATGCCATTTCACAACGTTGCTCATATCTACACTTCGGCAAGCCATACCACGTCACTATTGTCTACTTGGGCCTCACACAGAGATGTCTCCACGAACTGCCCGAAATTGTCATCCTGGCGGCTCTGAGATCATGGACTACCTGGTGGGAGTGGATGATTATGGTCCGTGGGCTGCTCATACATTCGTGAGCTATAAGATCAGCAAGACGGCAGTGTGTCGGGAAACGCTTCATCAGCAACGAAAGGACAGAATGTAGCCGCAAACGAGACCCAAGCGGGCCAGCCTCAGTCGAGGAATCATCCCGTCACGGCGTGAGTGGCAGCGTGCTGCTTGCAGTTGCGCATGGTGGGGACGGAGAGCCCCAGTGGATACCGAAAGGCTAGCGAGCTCATTGTCCAGTATGTAAATCGTAGCATCATTGTGTCGAGAGCGAAAGAGGAGCAGCAACGCCCTGTCAAAGACGCGCCGGCTGTAGGACATTGTAGGCGGACACATGCACAAGTGTAGAGCAAATCAATTGTAGTTCCCATGAGAATCCATTAGCGAGGCCGAGACTAATTTCTTCTCTCCAGGAACAGCGAGGTAAAGTGATAATGGCCCAAGAAGACTTCCATCTGTCTGTGCTACAATCCTGACTCTTCGTAAGAGGCTTTCCGTCAGCTCCACCCACTCATCCCTTCCGCGCAACTTCCACACGATTGGCTCTTGGATTGTGTCTGACCGCCTCCTCCGCCAGCTTGAGCCTGCGCCTTATGTCCAGCATCGCATCTATGTCCGAATCCAACTCGTCGCTCAGGATCTCGTGCCTTACACCCGCGCTAGAGACGACTGCAACGCATGTGTACTTATCGTTGTTCATATTGCGGTGGTGTTCGATGGCGCACGTGAAATCGTCATCCGGGAAGATGCGCTCGATGAGTTCTGTGAGAGTGGGGGTCAGTGTAACGTGCGGAACGGTTTTTGGTGGGGTATTTGGGGGGAAGGGGGGTGTACGACTTACGCTCGACATTGTTTGTTACTTCTATCAAGTGATAATGGCGGATGTCGCAGACTGACATTTTGGCTGGGTTTAGAATGGTTGGATTGAGGTGGTAGTATTGTGCGCTGACTGATTTTTGATTGTGCTTGTAGAAGTCGTGGTCAGGGATTGGAGAGAGGGTCACGCAGGGGTTTTGGAGGGCCGAGAGGGAGAAGGGATGTGACTGGGCGCCCTCTTAGGCGCTAGACGTGCGGAGATAGCGGACGGCCTATGCGATCCCCGACAGCCCATGAGAATTTGGGGTATAGAAGCTATGGGATATGCAACGCACTGGAGACTGGGATATAAGGCGAATACGAAGGAATCTAGCGAATATTTAGCACAGATATTCCTTGTAAACGACACCGCTTGAAAGATTGCTCATGAGCGGCTTCCGTCTCTCATATACACTGATTTCTATGGTGTGTTTGTCACTGTTGTTTTAAGTATGGCTAGACCGAGTTTTCCAACTACAAAGTGCCCCATTTATCAAGCGAGCAAATCGTTTGTACATTCCAGCCGTCGAATTAACGTTTGCGCCACTGTTGCACCGGCGCTGATCGAACTGCCTGTGCGGGGAATCCTTCGTGTTGGCGTTCCAGTCTTCCCCGCTCTTTTGTCGTGGCCGTGCACCAATATCATCAATCTTTTGACCGCCCATCACAGGTGGGGACATGGAAGCTTAGTCTTCTGGAAAACAGGTGAATTCTCGATAATGAAAAGAGTAGCCCACACCCAGCAAGATTTGCGGCCCCAATGCAGATTTCCCAGCTGAAATCCACAAATAACGCTCTCCCCAAACAGCAGGGCATCATATATCAGCAATCAACCATCGCGCAAACTGCCGCAGCTGCTGACCGTCTCTCTCGGGCTTTTTTAAAGCTTTTCCATCCCCATCCTGTGCCCCAAGCCGCATGGCACACTATCATCGCCGTATATCCCCACCCAAGGGAAACCCCATCTTCCTCCCTCCGCCCGCATATCATCGACCATCGCCATGCACAGCAAGGCGCCTCATCTACAAACCGTCAGCACCCCAATCCAAAACAAATCAGTCAGATCCACATACCCCCTCCCTCCCTTCCCACTCAACGCCTCAGCGACATGCTCGTCATACGCGCACCACCTCCACCCATCCGGCGCATACAACACACACGCGCACTGCGCCTCCTCCGCGCTCGGGCAGCCCGCCCGCTTGCGCCCCAGCACCAGCTTCTTCACCTTGTGCGCCATCCGCGTCAGCCGCGCCTTGGTCCGCACGCGCAGCGGCGCGTCGTCGCGCTTCAGCGGGCCGGGGTGCGCGTGCACGAGCTGCGGCATCGTCGAGAGCGGCCGCGCGCGCGTCGTGCCTGACGAGCTGTTGATGCGGGCGGCGATCTTCGGCGGGACGGGCTGGCGGGGCGGGTTGTCGAAGTCTTCGGTGGAGGAGTTGGGCATCGGGAAGCGCGGGCGAAGGCCGGTGGTGTCGGGCGCTGAGGCGCGGGGCGAGCGTTTGGTTTGGAGAGGCATTGCGGTTGTGAGGAGCTGGTGGAGCGGTGGTGGTGGTGGTGGTGGAGTTGTTTTGTTGGGGTGGCGGCGCGGAGCTGGGCGGCGGCGTTGTTCGATGGGATGACGGGGAGAGGCGGGCGGGACCGCTGGAGGGTGTTAAATGTTTGACCGCAGCGGGTGAAGGGCGCAGGCGACGCGGTTCATCGGTCACTGTCTGCGGTGATTTTTATCAAGGGCTTCACTCGGCCTTTTTGGACGACCTACTGTTCCTCTCTCCACACAGCAAAAGCAACACCGGCAGCGCTTTATCAGGCTTTCCACACTGTTCACTCTTCGTTCTATATAACGCAAGCAAGGTCAGTCCCCTTTACTATTAGAAAGACCAGCACTAACACCGCTTCGCCCAGCTCTTCCAGGGAATCTACCGATCTTCCCATTTACCATCAACGAAGCAGCACCGACTGTATACACTTGGACTATCCAAACACAAGCGTCATGGCCTCAAGCACTGGCAGAATTGTCGATCTCATCCAGTACACGCAGTCCGCTGCCCCCACTGCCGGTCGTTTCAATGCCGACGAAGAGTGCGCCATCTGCCTCACTCCTCTGTCAGAGGAAGGGCCATACAATGCACTAGGCAACGATCGGTTCCAAGCTGAATTCGATGGAACGTTCCTGGCCTGTTCAGCCGGTCACCCGTTCCACAGTCACTGTATACTAAGGGGGATCATGTCGCAGAGGAGCAGCCGCGGTCTCGAGGATCGCTGCCCACAATGTCGCCGTCGCTTGTTTATCGACATCGAGTACGTCAAGAACCGCCAAGAACGGTACCAAGCTCGCGTCGAGTGGGCTAGCGAGGAAGATCGACCCGATCACATGCTGGTCCTCAATGAAGTAATGCAGGTGCGGGTGCTCCTCGACAAGGCCGTATACGAACGGGGACTGGAGGCTTGGGTTCAAGTTGAGGTTGTTGGTGACTCTGGAGAACCGGATGAATACACTCGAGCAATGGAAAGGGCGGAGGAATTGGATCAGGAGATTGAGAGGCAGGAGACGAGCCTGTAAAGGATCGGATGCTGTCCTGGCTTGCGAATTCAGACCGTCGATCAGTTGGGACTGTGAGGTTGTTTGCTAAGCATAAGCAAGTTTGTGGGACACGAACAATAGACGATCAGTAAAGGACTACTATGGGTGACTGTTTCTGTTCTGAGCATGTTGAATTTGTGACGCTATGAGATCTTCGCTAGCGGGCGCGTGCCCATCCGAATTGTGACGTCTAGCCAGGCCGCCAGCTGTGTGACTCAGGTTCTCAATGAGTGTAGAGCTGAGATAAAGTGCAGCCAGGTACACGAACCAAGCGCAATACTCTCCAGCCAAGTCGCCACCTGTTTGCATCGGCACCGCGATCCACGCGCAGCGATGATGCGCAGTCAGGCACTACGCGGAACGCGTCAAGGCTGATCCGCGCAAGTGAGCAAAGCCCGCTCATCAACTGTGGTACGCGTCCAGCCCTGCCCCGACCAGATCACTCACCCGAATCTGGTTTAGCGTAGCCCGCCCCCCGGCCAACAGGCGAGCAGTGGCAGGTGATCTGCTCCCTAGGGTCCACCCTTATAAACCTCGCCGGCCCCCCGGCACCGTCTCTTCTTCTTCTTCTTCTTCAGCTCTCTTTGCCTTTTGGCTTAGATCAGTTGAAGTGGCTGTTCTTTTTAGTTTAATCTCTAAAACGCCCTTACGGGGGCATTTTTCTTGATTAATCTTGTTTTTGGAAATGGGCTGGCGGCCGCTGAGCTCCGCTCATGTCGCTGGTCACAGTGTCGCCTCTATTGCACTGTCTGGGGCTGATGCGAACCCGCACTTTTTTTTTCTTTTCGTTGAGTTGCTGGCCTGGCGCCGGCGCTTGAGGAAGAGAGTGGTGGTGGTGGCGACGCAGGTGAGGACTTGGTGGCTGCGGATGGCAATGCCTTTGCGCGCAACCGTGGTGGTCTCGCGGGGCAGCAGCGGTGCTATAAAGGTTCGTGGCGGCGTCGCGCGTCTCGTCGGCCGTGGACTTGGTGTTGAAATCTGCGACCGCTGCCATGCCCCCATCCCGCGTTCGCAATCGCAGAGCTTGGCTCCGAAGCTTTGGCTGGCGATGGCACATTTCAGCCCCTCATTCGAGCTGGTGCTGGATGGAAATAAAGGCAGTGCGCATCTGGCGAGAGTCGTTGATGCAATGGTTTGACTGGCGCCGGCAGTTGGCATCCTCCGCTTGGAGCTGCGAGGCTCTTCGTTGTCGTTCGCATCCGCTTCTTCTTCTTCCTAAGGCTGCTGCTCCTCTTCCTCCGCAGAAAGAAGAGCCTGACCCATTCACCGTGACGACAGTACTTGGAAGAAGAAGATTTTGTGCGCGTAGTGACCGCTGCCCTCATCCTGCGCCCGTGGGCTCTGTTGGTCCAGGCTCAAATTCTCCTACGAGCGCAACAGTGAGCAGCCATGCCAACCCAAAGTCCATAGCATATCCCCATTCTAGCTACGGTAGGGTTTACTGCCCACATCACAGCCTACAGGCGCCTCAGCAAAGGCAGATGGTTTCTCAGGCCATCCCCCCTTTCCTGCCAGTGGACGGTGCCACGTGAGATTTCGTATCTCATCCAGCTTCCTGCGATGATTTCGGTTGCCCTTATGACATGAATGAGCCTGAGGTGTTTCCTTGTCTGACTACATGCAACCAATATATCGTAGCATGAAGCTGAAGTCCCGGAGAGACTTGCTGAGTCGCATAAAGCTTGAAGCTTCAGTTCTCTGGCGCATTGCTGCAATGATCGACTGTGCAATCTCGTCTGCGGAATATTTGGATATGTGGCGTAGTAGTGCCGCTTGCCTTCCACCGGCTATGACGTACGGGTTCGCGACAAAGACCGCCCAGATATTCCCGCGCTCCGCAGCTACCTACACCTGCCTTAACACAGCCACACGTAAAGCACCCACTTATCTTCCCGCTCATAATCGACGGATCAACTCTTTCTCTCCACCCCATCGACCTCCACCGACTCACTCGCAGCATCCAGCGCCGCCGCCGCTGCCACCACCACCCCTGTACGCTCCGTCTCCAAACAAGTTGGTCCCGTCCAGCAGCTCACACCCAGCAGCATCGGCCCACCATGGAAAACATCGCGTTCATGGCCATCATCATCCTCAGCATGATCATGTCAGGCTTGATCATCGTACGCCCATCACACCCCCGGGCCCTCTCCCCTTCCCTTTAATCCACCCACACACGCCCAGCTAACCCTCCACCGACAGCACTACGTCGCCAAAAAACTCAACCAGTGCTTCCCCACCTCCGACAGCCACAACCCCGACGACCCCTTCAACCGCCCTCGCCCCGTCGTCGGCAGCCAGACCGGCGGCGTCAACATCGAGCTCGCCGTCTTCCCGCAGAACGGCGACAGGGCTGCCGTCCGCGTGCCGCGCGGTGCGCTTGCTCGTGGCGGGCGTGCGGCTGTCTACCAGGTGCCGAGGAGGGACCCGCCGGCGTACAATGCCGAGTCCGGGCTGACGGATCCGCCGCCGGTGTATTCGGTCGGATTGGGAGAGTGAGTTGCATACCCTGTTTGCTGGTGGTCGGGAGAGATGAGATGCTGCTGATTGGGAGACTACAGGCATGATGCGAGGGTCATTCATGTGAGGGAGGCTTGAGCAGGGCCTGCTCTTGCTGTAAGGCGCGCGATTGAGCGACGAAGAGCTTGTCCGAGGGGGCTGTTGTCCGATGGGTATATTGGCTTGGGCTGGATTTTGGCATAAAGGAGGGACAACGGGGGCTTGGAGTCTTTCGTTTGTGTGGTGGGAGATGGGGCGGAGACAACAACAACAGCGCCAACAACAATTGGATTTGGTCTTGGGCTTATAGCATACCGTTGTACTCCTACCACAACGTTCTTCCGTTGCTAGTCTTCAGCAGAAGCATTATACACCAAATCACCATCCCTCACGTACGGCATATGACATAATATCAGACAAGTAAAGACCATTGAAGAAACAAAAGCGCTAACGCATACTCACCAACATCCAGCCACCAGGACCACTCCCCCTCCTATCAACCACCAGCTCGTCCAATCCGATCCATTCACACCCTCCCCCCGGGCACCTCCACCGCCACCGCGCTCGCACAAACCTCCGCAAAATCCCTCACCCACCGCGCCCTCGCCCCTTGCACCATCCCCTCGTCCCCCCTCCACGCCACCAGCAGCAGCTCGGCGATGCGCTCCTCGAACCAGCCCACCAGCGACGTCACCCGCACCGTCTTGTCCGCCTTGTCCTCGAGCTTCAGCGCCAGCCCGTCGTGCACGATCTGCAGCTCCGTCGGCACCCAGTACGCCGACGGGATCGCGCCGTTGGCCCAGCCGTGCACGAAGACGGACCAGTCGAGCAGGCGGGGGCGGATGCGCACGTGTGTCGTGGGGAGGAGGGGGACGAGCGTCGTGGTGGAGTTGATGGCGATGTGGCGGGGCATGGTTGGGTTTGGTTGGGTTAGTTGGATGGATGGCTGTAGGGATTGGGTTTCTTGTTTGCTTGGGAATGTGGGCTTGGGTTTGATCTGATGTCTGCTGGGGGTGTTGGAGCTGACTCGATGGCGGGTTTACTTATGGGAGAATGGGTGAGGATGGTGCATTGTTTTTGAGACAAAGAGGGCGGACAATGGCGTTGTTTGAGGTTCACTGAAACAAAGAGCTCGGCTCTGAGACTGCCATCGAGGGGCGAACAATGGGGGTGAAGGGAATGATGTCTGAGAGCTCTTTTGTCTCGGTCAGTTTTATTGGAGCTGAGGTCTACGTTCATGCCTTTTCCCTGTCTTCGTGGAGGCTACGGATGCCTTTCTTCCTACGAATCATGCAATCCGACACTTTGCAAGGCGTCCGTAGCCTCCACGAAGACAGGAAAGCCTTAACGTGTGGCGCAGTGTCTTTGGAGGAAGAATCGTTACAGTTGGTTCCCCGAGTCTCACTATGTACTAACATGACATCCGTTGTAGAAGATCCGGGACGGTAACAAATCGTGAAATGGCCTCGGAAAGTAAGAATCATCACATCAGATGCAGAGATGCAGCTGAAGTTGCTAATATGGGTTAATAAATACTGATAATGGATCGTTCTCTCTTACATGGGTTGTGCAGTCACATTGCATCAGGGGAAAATTATTCTGTTTAAACCATTCTATTGACATAGTCGAGGCTACGGGACATCATTCATCAGGGCGTATCACCAGAGTAAAAGGGAAACTTGACACCTTCAGATGAGCGCCACACCAAGATGATGCCAAACATCACTGCTTGAGTCTACGCGTCAGACGACGGACGAGAGACGGGCGAGGTGGATCAGCAACAGGATCACAGCAGTCAACAATGACCAGCTGGCAGAGATGGTCAAGACGAATCATGTCCCTCTGCCAGATATCAAAGTGGTCCGTATCCCTCGCAAGACGAGCAAGGCGCTTGCCAAGCTCTATACGCAGCATCCGAAATGTGGTCTCGGACCCATCCATCTCGGCAAGATACGCCTTGGCCTCGCTGACAAAGTCATGCCAGTCAAAGCACTCCAGATCATCGAACAGCATCATCATCATGTCGTACCGGGCCGCGCAGACCTTGACAATCTGATCATCAGGCATCAGCAGAACGTGCGTCGGGAGGCCGTGGGCGGCATCCACAAACTTGAACACAAGCAGGCGCTGCAGGTCGGTGTCGTGAGCTTGGCACCTAGTCCAGGGATTACCGCCCCAAACACGAGGCCGGCCCTCTTTGAGAAGGTTCTTGTATTCACCGACCTTTGCCTTCGACGAAACAGTGCGAACGGGACGGATGCTGGGATAGTACGGCTCATCGGTCTCCTTTGGTGTGCCGGAGGCCAGGGCAAGGGAGCGCACACGGTCCGGCATACTGGAGCCTGTCGAGCAGGTCGAGTCGGCACTGGAGCCGTTGTCCATTGTGGTTATCGTGAGAACTGGTCCAGCCGTGTTCTGAGATTTGGACGAAGTGATTCTTGTGAAGTCGATATGATGGAGATTTCGAAAGCTTGATCGCAGCAGGAACTTATAATTTCATTGAGATCTGCATGGTATATTGACAATGCAGCTGCACGATGGCAATGTTGAAGTGGTTTTCGATACGAAGTTGTTGAACAATGTGGTTGATCGGTTCCACATGCCGTCAATGAATCTTGACAACTCTCGTTCCGTTCCATCTGCGAAGGTACCGCGCTTGGACCTTAGCATCAATCAACACCATAATGTGACAGCTCGCTTAGTACCATGGCAGACCGCTCGATCGTGCCCATAGATTCGATGCTCCTCTTGCCCAAGCTGTCCCATCATATTCGAAAGTAGGCAAATCGCTGCTATATTTTCAATTGCCCTTTTTCGGCTCTAGGAAAAAGAAATAGGAACCTCTTTTTCCTCTCCGTGACCAGCAGAGACGTGATTGTTTCTTCTAAGCAATTTGGTTTGGAGAGGTGCCAGAGAAAAGGCGTTTGTTCCTCACGACATATCAAGACAGCAAATAAATTACTAGATGATCATAAAGCCAACAAACGCCGGCATCTAGAGTCCATAATCTTAGTTATAAAGCGGTTTGCTAGGAATCATACGGAAAGGCAATAGAGGTATATATCCGATGCCCATCTCCTTTCGCCTCTGCGCATCGTCCTGCTGTCATCAATACACTCCCAACTTGTAGCTGGACTACAATCCACCAGATCATTTCGAAGCTATCATGGGCTCATCTACAGCCATAATGTCTGGTGGAGCCTCCAAGAGTATAATCATTGCGCAATGGCCCTATGAATTTGGTTATATGTATACCTTTCCTGCTTTCCCAATACCCGATATAATACTTCAACATGATAGAAAGGATGCAGAAAGTGTGTCCAACACCTACTAGTCGGAAGTCACCGGGGTCGAGTTGGTAAAGGCACTGTCATGTGGTGCATGGACATCGCGACATCAAAGCGTCCCCCACTCAAGAACAATGCACTTGTAGCTCGAACAACCACCTTGTCTTCTACTTTATAAAGACCGCCACCTCCACTCGAGACTTTCAACCGTCCATCTCCGTAACACCTTCGTTGCAACTTATCAACATCGGCTCGCTCGTCAAGCCATTCATTTCCTTCATCTCTACATTCCTGTCTTCGTTTTGCGCCAAAATGGAATCGTATATCACCAACGAGCAACCGATCCCTTGTACTATTCGTGCGGAACGATACCGTGTGAGCTGTTTATTGACATACGGAGAGGACACACGGCTCAGGCTCCCATTCGACGTTACTACATTCCTGAACAGGCATCTACTCGACGAGATCCGTCGCCTGGATCAGCGACACATGACAACAACGTCGGCCTATGAGAAGCTGCAAGAAAGGATCAGAGAACACTCCAAGGCTTGCGGAAAGGACTCGATCCGCGACTTCGTCGACACCGAATCGGTTTCAGCGGCTCTGACCAAGGCCACCGTCGCCATCTGCGACATCGAAGAGAGACTCGTCAGGACAGATCACCACGCACTGGATTCAGGGAGAATCTGGGAAGATTGGGATATAAACATCCTGATGAGAGACCTCGCACCAGATGTTCGGTCGTCGCTGGCCGCGGTGGTCCGCGCGGAGCTGTCTGAGGCAGCAGGTTCCACGGAAGATACTCATCTCCCTGAGATGTTTGTATACGGCGTACTGCTCTCCACCGTGCGCACCGTTCTGATGAACTCTGTGGAATCGGACGATGAAGAGATGATAGAGGTGGCAAACGACGCTTCTCTTGCTCTTACTCGGGCAATCTCCACGCACATTTGTCGATTCGTATAGATGACACAGCATAACCTTGACTTACCTTGACATGAGTAACTTTACCATCGTATGCTAGTATTCTCTTCAAATACATTGGGGTAGATTGTTCAGCCGTGTTGTACTTCAGTGAAGTAGTGACCCATCCTTTCCAGCCACCGCGCTATCCATTCTGTGTCTAAATCGTATACATCCAAATGGTCCCATTCTAAATCATTCGATTCAGGAGAGTCTCTCATTTAGTCTTTACTCCATCTCTTTTCATAGTATTACACTCCTGATCTTCTGAGGCGTACCCTATGCTGAAGACAAGCAGAGAGAGCGG